TTCATGTTACCTCTGATGAAGATTAAAGGTGACCTGGAACCATAAGCTATAGCACCCCAAACCATAACTCCAACAGTGTGATGAACATGTCTTTCAACAAAAAACTGTGGATTCCTCCTTTCACCACGTCGCCTTCTAACCCTGGCACGACCATCGTGCATGCCTAAACAAAATCGAGACTCGTCACTAAAGACAATACTGTTCCATTCCTGATCCCAGAGTGACCGTTGTCTGCACCACTCAAGGCGATTACGTCGGTGTTCTCGAGTTAAAGGGAGGACCCAGTGTGGCCGGTATGAAAACAAGCCAAAACTTCTCATTCGTCGGTAAACACTTCGCATGCCAATAGGTCTTCCGTGTTCTGCAAACCATTCATTTGCAATGGACCTGGTAGTGGAGAAACGGTCCCTTAAGGCCAATAATCTTAGGCGGCGATCTTCACGGTCTGTTGTTCTACGGCGGCGTCCAGTGCCCCTTGCTCCTTGCGTACGGCCTTCTCGAAGCCATGCCTGACAACACCTAACCACAGTGTCTACACTTCTTTGCACTCTAACTGCAATTGCCCGAAAAGAAAGTCCAGCTTCCCGAAGTCCCACTATACGGCCCCTATCAAACTCACTAAGTTGACGAAATCGTACAGGTCTCCGTACTCTAGGCATCGTAACCGATCGTAAAGGATGTCAAGAACCAAAATCCGCCAACGTTGATTCTTTACTGCGGCTGAAATATTAATTTTTAGAGCGTTAGTGAATTAAAAAAAAGCAGTATAAAAACCGGAATGTCCAACTGATAAGGCTGAAAATTTGTTCACTTGTTATTTACAGTAAGATAAATACATTCATCAACTTTTATTAAAATAAAACCATTTAAACTGGGTGTTCGGATTTATATGTCACATAGTATATGTTGATGAATTAATAATTTTTGACGAATTTCATATTGAGCTAAACAATGGATAATTAACTAGTTAAAGCATAACCCTAATGTTACATAAGAACGCCTAAACTGGCACAAATAAAATTACGGATAGACTCATGCCTAATTATTGATCAAAGTGGTTGTGTTTTGAGTTTGTATGAGATTAATACAGGCCTAGCAAAGTAAAGAGTAAAAAAAATCATAATCACCTCTAACAATGAGGGTTCTCCAAAACAGTTCCTCCCAGGCGTGAGTCCCACTCAAACCCACTCTCGTTGGACTATCCCTTTAGGCGGTCCCTCTCTATAGAATTAGAAATCATGGTTAAAATGGTCACTTACCCGCTCGATGGTTGAGTGCAATTATCTGCAGGGTTAAATCCCCAAAAGGGTAAGAAAAAGACTCGGATAATAAGAACCGCCCAGGGGCCGATTTCTAACAAAACTACCTCACCACCCTTTGAATCCGCAACTCAGCGTGTAAACTATTCACAGAATCGGGCAGTGGGCCGCAGACAAATTTCTCCACCAGCGCACCGGAAATAGAACCAAGTCACCTTCAGCTCTCGTATTTACGGTCGACAGAAATTATAAAAAATGATCTCCAACGAGATGGAGAGTAGAGTACGATTTTCTACCACAAAATTACCAGACTGAGAGAGGTGTTTTGTTATAAAAATGAAATTCGATGTTTTTAAGAACAGCTATAAAATTATTATCCTAAATAAGGAAAACGTTGTAATATTTTACTTTATCCAGATGTAGTTAATTTTTAGTCGACAATAAAAAGAAACTGTAACAAGTTAACCTGCGAAAACCGGACTTTACTAGTAAATAATTGGTTTTGTGAATTTTTTGGGACCAAATGTATTGACGTATTGCTTTTATCTTTTCTTTTCAGAGAAATGTTTGGTGAAGGCTTGGACTGGGCAATTTGTTCAATGATAGTTCTGCTAGGGCAACAGAAACGATTTGAGGCATTGGACTTTTGCTACCACATTCTCAGAGTGCAAAGAGTAGACATGAAAGACGAAGTTGTAAAAGGAATTGTAAGTATATTTCAGTTGACATTCATGTCAGCAAGTATATTCTTGACTATTTTACGCTGGTATCATTAACACTTGATACTTTTCCAGAATCTGAAGAGGATGGTGGACAGAATAAGAAGATTCCAAGTATTGAATTATCAAATATTCGCAATTTTGAATAAGTTTCTGAAGTCGAGTGAAAATGACGAATGATCATAGTTGAGCGGTTTTGGTCAGAACCCACCTAGTGCTAGTGCTTCAAAAAGGCTTTTACCTGCATACACGCAGGTAGTGATAATTTGTTTTTTTTTATACCGAAGCAGCCGCGCAGGCAGAGGCCTAAATGCCGGGACACCGCGGCTGTTATGATGATCTCAAAGAAATTTTGTTAATCCGATTTTTGAACTCCGAAACTGTCTGTTAGAGAAGAGTCATCGATCAGTCGGACAGCCCTCCTCTAGACAGCATCGAGCTTAAATAATGTACGGCGGCAGCATCACGAACGTGTGAGCAATACTCGAGGCTAGGCCATGCGGAGAAAAGCCCTAAACAAATAGCCTAGCCTAGCTTTTTCCCAGCAGCTGCCGCTATTGACAAGATGTGTTCGTGCCAGATCAGGTCCTTGGTGATCTGAACTCCGAGCAGCCGAGATGAATGGCTCTTTGGCAGAACTCAGCCATCCATTGAAACCGGATGCGCTAGGACGCTTTTTGTTCGTCAAGGTTCTTTTTTCCAGCTCAGCGGCAGAGATCGTTTTGTCGCTCTTAATTCCTGCATGTAGAGTGATGTCATAAGCGAAGCTGTGCATTGAATTGATCGTACAGGAAAGGAAGCCGTTGATATGTAAGAGTGTCGGAGCAAAGACCGATCCCTGGGGAACACCCGCGTTGACGTTGTGGGATGAAGAGGAGAACCCGTCAATTACGATGGATATCTTGCGGCCAGAGATAGTCAGCCACCCATCTGCAACGATTTTCTGGGAGGACGTAGGATGGAAGTTTGCTTAAGAGAGCAGCGTGCCACAGTTGATCGAACGCTTTCGTGATATCAAGAGCAACGACATGAGCCTCACCATAAGACTTGATGAGTTTGCTCCGCATTTGCATGAAGGTCCCTTGTCCCCGGAGCCGGAAACCATACTGCCTGTCGCTAATCAAGCTGTGACGTTCGAGGCAGTCCAAAAGCTCGCGATTTATGCACCTCTCCACCACCTTACTTATAACAGAAAGCAGAGCTATAGGCCTGTAGCTGTAAGGGTCGGTCTTAGATACTTTCTTTGGGATGGGTTGGACATGAGCACATTTTCAGTTTTCTTTGAAGGTGCCGGATTCATGATATCTGGAAGAGATGCGCAACAACTGGAACAAGCTCCGGTGCACACCTCTTCAGTACAATGGCAGGAATCCAGTCCTGACCAGAAGCTTTGTTGATGACGAGCGACAAAAGCACTCCTATTACGGTCTTATGTCTGAATGTTACTTCCCGGAGAGTGTAGGGACCCCTTTGAATTGACGGCACTTGGGCGTTTGGGGGACGTCCATGGTAGAGTTGGCAGCAAAGATTTTGGCAAGCACTTCCGCCTTGGCCTTTGAGTCGGATACAATCGTTCCAACCTGACACGAAAGTGGCGCAAGGCTACTCAGTGAGAAGTTCTTTTCAGTCTCTGAGCCCCTACCAGTCGGGATGTCCGTAATGCCAAATTTTGCGGCCTGGGCGAGTTTCTGCTACCACAGCAGGTTCTGACCAAAACCTAACCTCCACAACACCGTGATCTGAGTTAATCGCGCAGATGTTTGTAAAACAAATTTTATCTTCGATGTTGTTCCCTCGAGCCCACCCTCCACCTGGACATTCGAACTGGGGTATATACGTAGGAAGAAAGAAAAGACATTAATTTAGTGTGATTATGTTTATTGATTTCAAATTCAAATGAGGCGTTAGCATAAACAATGCTTAAAATGTATACACATATGCTTCACTATTCATTATAATAGTATTATATACTGTAAAATTATAATGCATCATGAATAGTTAAACTACTACTTAAAATAAAACAATTTTCCAAAGCCCCTATAGAATACTGAAATCAATTTACAAAGAACATGTGAATTGATCAGCAGATCAGAATTGCATTGCATCTACTGGTATTCTAACGTTATATCTATTCTCTGACAAATGCACTATGTGCACTTATTTTGTCAGAAAACATTTCAACAATCACTAGTTTTATAAATAGTGTAAACCAAATAATGCTATAGTATTAGGGTCCGAAATAGATATTACAGGAATAATATAATACATTCATAGTTTAAACTTTACCGACTTCAACCATCACAAGAATATACTTATAAAATACAACTTCATATACATATAGATAATACAAGCGGCATATTTTAGGAGTATATCACTCATCTTTAATAAATTCGAACCCTAAGTTAAAAAACCAATTCTGAACTACTGTGTCCCAAATTCGTTTTCTGCCCAGGAAAATGAAAATGGGGAGCACCTCAAAACATACATGACAACTCAAACTCGACCATCCTTAACTCGAAACCAACGTTTCACCAGCTTAAACCCAACAAACCAACATACAACAATATTCTGACTCTGTAATATATAATAGAACATATGTACAGCGTGTCCCAGCATAGGTGGACATTCAATCGATTCCCAAAATGAAAATAAAAAAATAATTTGGAACAACCTGTAAAATCTATAGTGAGCTAAGTATTATTCACAGGTCTTGAATATTCGACAATAGCTTCGAGTTTGAGTTGCTTTGTATTGTGCTGCAATAACCAGAATTATATGTAGATACATGAAATCATTCCATATTTAATGTTAATGAAATCACATAGTGAAAAGAAATCATAATTCATAGTTATTCTTAATAATGTTAACAGAGCTTTACATGGCCACATGGAACTCATCGCTGAATTTGCTGTACCAATGATGAGAGCAGAGTGAGTACAGCTTGTTAATGAAAGGACATTGGTACAGCATGCACAGAGTTCAAAGTTTACTTCTTCACACCGTTTTGGTTGACTGGGCTTTTCACAGATACCACCGGAGGAATACTATAAACAAAAACAAACTCCATGTTAAATCAAAATTAAGACAACGAAATTACTATACAGGATATCCAAGATAAGGATCCTATCTCAATACCTGCGGGAGATACAGCTTAGAGTATTTCATGGCGTATTGAGATATTTGGTTAAAACTAAAATTTACCCAAATCATTTCAATTTTTTTCTGATTTTATTTTGAGAATCATCAAAAAATAATGAAACTTTTCTATTGGCACTTGGAACTTTTTAGGCACTACATGATGGTGTTTTTAAATTTTGTGCCCGACGGATCGTTTTTGAGAAACCACCACCAACTCTATTTTTTTATATGGTGCGAAAAAGTATACCCTGTATCTAATAACGTTTTTATACGAATTTAACGATGCTGACGTGATACATTTTGTGCTACAAAAATACTAAAAATACTTCAGGAATGTATCTTGATTAATTTCCAGGAAGAAGGCGGCCAAGTAAGTCCAAAGAGCCTGGCGCGTCTCGAAAAAAGGAATCTTTAAAGGAAACTCGGAATAGTGCTTTACAATCAGTTGCTGAGAACTCTGATCTATCAACTAAGCAAATTGAGAAAAATGTAGCAGTAGCAAAATCCACAGTCCAATTTATTTTGGGTAAAAATAGATATTACTCCTACAAAATTCAGGATCCGCCAAGGACTTAGACCAGGGCACAGCGAACGGAGCCAGCATTTTTGTACACACGAACGTGTGAAGATTTTAATTTCCTTTCAAAAATAATATGGTCCGACAAGAATATTGTCACTAATAATGGCATCTTTAATCGCCGCAACACTCACTTCTGGGCTCAAGAACATCTGCGGGCTAAAAAAGTATCCAGACGTCAAGAACGCTTTGGGATTAATATGTGGTGTGGAATTCTAGGGACCATTTATTCACAACTCATTAACTGCAGAACGGCACCTTCAATTGTTTCAACATGATCTAGAAGACTGCCTTTGGCGCAGATTAATATCTGTCGGTTTCAACAAGACGGTGTCTACGCATGAGCAGCATATAAAATAATAACAATACTCGGTGACAGGTATTTACGTCAAGTCAAGCATTTGTTTCAACGCCTTCTTATAAAAATAAAAACGCAGTTTTCCTTGTAACCAGAAAACGAATGTAAACATGTGACACATCGTTAAATTCATTGAAAAAGATGCTATCAGATACAGGGCGTACTTTTTTCGGACCATGTAAAAAAATAAATTGATGATGGTATTTCAAAAACAAAACGTCGGGCACAAAATTTAAAAACACCGTCTTGTAGTGCCTAAAAAGTGCCAATGAAAAAGTTGCAGTAGTTTTTGGCCAAATTTTAGTTTTTCCCAAATACCTCAGTGGGCGGTTTCCAACGGCATTTCCTAATTTAACCAACGCTGTATCTCCCAGAGGTATTGAGATTCACATGCGTAGCATCCTTATCTTGGGGAGTAGTATTAAAATCTACCCTCGACATGACATTATTTCATTTGGTTCCTTCACACTATTGTATGCAGGGTGTTTTGGAAACAAGGGACAAAAATTCAATTCATGCAAAACTCATCTCTTCTAGTTCCAGAGATGGCCTATTCCTAATGCAATATTGCTAATTTTTTATATTATTATGTATAATACTTTCAAAAAGCCTATCTGAGGAAAAAATGTATTTTTGTTTTATTTCGATAAAACCATTTAATACTAGTTTATTAATCGATACTGCTTTCGATATACTGGTTCCGCCATTTTGAAAATATAGTAATTTTGATAACAGATTGATAATCAGCGACCCAGTAAACTTTAGGATAGTCTAATACAGCACCAACTGCCCGTCAAATTTTTGGAAACGCAGTTAAGAAATCATCGCGTTATCTGGTTTTGGTTTTCATAGACTGTACCATCAAGGAATTCGGTCACGCGGGAGAATATAAATCCGAAAAATGCTTTGTTCAAGCCAAAATTTTCCAATACATAACTTCATTGTCACCAATGATGATGTCATGCCAAGTACAATACCTCGGATTTTCAAAAAAATATAGCTTCCCAATGGCACATTTGAGATTATCTCTCAGTTTACATAATTCTCTGGTAGTACCTTCGCCCATCCTATCAAACCAAACTATCTTTTCAAACTATCAACTTCCAAAAAGATGCGGAAAAAGTACTGTTAATTTTTGTATAATATATATTTTCCATGGTAGTTTCATAATGCGTGGATATAAGTGTATTTTTACTTTCAGGCGACATAACAGTCAACATTTGCCAGATTGCGTATGCATATCACAATATGTACTTTTTTTAGATCAATACTTGCGATTGAATATTTGGTTAGTTAATTATGCATGGAAGGAGAAAGCAAAATGATATTGATATTTCACAAGCAGCTATCATGAAACAATCCAATGTACTTGAAACAAATATACATATATAGAAATATGACAATCAACAATAAGCAGATAAGCGATTTTGATGTTTTTTATAAATAACTTAATAGCAAATAGCTCATCTGCCTTTTCGTAAAATAATATTCGTGATACATGGTGTTCGTAAAACAAAAATACCCCCACTGCAGCATCAATATGAAATCACCATTCAGACGTATTTAGTCCTGCAATGAATGTATTTTATAATTAGTGTATCTCAGGAACATGCCTACCAATACTGCCGTACTTACAGTTCTTTTATGCTTACAATTACAAAATATATCATTGATCACATTAGTTAACAAGAATAGTTAAGTTCTTTACTTTGTCAAATATTTCATATTAACTATATTTCCCAAACTTAAAAGCAGTAAATCAATTTTTCAAAGTTAAATAGCAATATTTTCAAACTACATTGCTTTTATTCTCTGTATGTGCCTTTTTCATTTGTAAACAAGTATTTGTTGTTATAAATAATTACTTTTACTCAAAATAAATAATTGAAAAATATTCTTCGTTTAACTTAACATATCAGAAAACATGCTGTTTTTACTGTATTTATAAAATTATTTTTGTTGAATGTAATTGTTAAATGTAATCATATAATTATTAAAGTGAATATTCATTCAAAATAAGAAAGCGCAAAGCGCCATCTATCACACCAGAATCGTCCACTGCAGAGAGCGCATACCTGCTATTTAAAACTGTAATGACTCATACGCGTGATCAACACGTGATCAGAGCTCGATCCCGGCTTCCTTCCAGTACAGCCGTATAGCGTACGACATATGTCGTTTCTGTGGCTTTGCGGTGGTCAACAGCACAGAGAAAGATGGAAATAATGGCTGATTGTTCTCCGCCGGTAGAACCAATAAAATCAAAGACGCGCCTCGACCGGCAGACTCATAGGCGTCGGCAACGCATTGGAACGTGTTTCGTTGAGCGATCGCATATTGTGTGTTTTCATAAGAATTGTTGTGTGATTGTTATTGTTGTGGTTTCTGTGGTTACTGTTTTGGTTATACTTAACCATGGAGAGTACAAATGGCACGAGTGGAAGTACTGAAAGCCAGGGAACAAGTAGACGGCTTCGTAAAGCACTGAAGAGGGACGCGAAAGAAATCGTGCTCAACGTGTTCAATTATCTGAACAGAACTATGTCGCAGGGAGATGCACTCGCGCGTTGTGAAAGTATGACAGGCGTTCCAGAGTGGACCATTCGTAGGGTCGTGCATGAAAAGAAGAAAACTGGAGCTACTACTGATCCAAAGTTTAATTTGAAGGGACGAAAGGCCGTTAAATTGGATGACGATAGAAAAATGGCGTTATGGCGAACCGTACATTCATTCTTCTTTAGGAATGAGATACCAACCCTCAAGGCTGTACATGCAGCGATCAAGGAAAATGAAATTATACCCCAAATGAGCGTCGAGGTAATGAGGAAATCCCTGCACGAAATTAATTTTCGTTACGAAATGCGTAATCGGAAGTCAGTATTGATAGAGGGACCTGGAATAGTCGCCTGGAGTCGAAAATACCTACGCGAAATGATTGAATATAGGCGACAAAGCAGAAAAATCTATTATTTGGACGAGGCATGGGTAAATGCAGGTCACACAGTTAAAAAAACCTGGATAGACAAAAACATAGTGAGTAACCGACAAGCAAGCATTGAAGGTTTGTCAACAGGTCTTCGTGGACCGTCAGGGAAAGGTCAAAGATTGATCGTAACTCATATTCCACTTCCATACAGCTAGTAACACCAGAAGCTTGGCAGAATGCTATCCGTCATGTTGTGAAGGAAGAAACAAAAATGTGGCAGCTTGACCACCACATCGACACCATCATAGAGCCAGTTATAGTCAATTTCAACGAGGAAAGCGATAGCGACAGTTTATTACTGTCAGATGTAAGTGGAAGCGACGATGAATAAAGGTAATTCCCAAATTTTTGACTTACAATATGTTTCAAACCACTCTTTATTAAGCATGTGACAAATCTAGTTCACCCATGTTAAACATTCATACCCCGCCTATGAACAGCCGACTACTGGTAGTTAAGTGATGTTCACGTGAACATCGATGAGTCATTACAGTTTTAGATAGTTATAGTATAGTTGGAAACATTAGGGATATCGGTTCACGTTTAATAGGCCAGTCAACGTGATCGCTAGATGGTTGACGATTCTGGCTGTCTTATTTCAATGGGCTGTACCTCCTGAATATATGTTAGTTACGATGCTTTCGTTCGTTGTCCAGAGACAAGTGACCAAGACTATGGTAAAGCTATTACACTGAGCAAGCAGCTCAAAAGTTTTGTCAAGAATCAGGGAGATACAGAGTCTTTGGAGCTTCTTTCTAAATTAGAAATACGATTTCAAGACGCCATTTCAAAGAAAAAGAGGAGACAAGCGACAATATATGAATTTTTGCGTCCTTAAAGTGACTTTTTATTTCATGGTTATGTGTTACTACATATATGTATGCACATACACATTATATTTTATATGAGTATATAAAAAAAATTGTATGTTATTTACACTGTATCACAATGACGTGTTATCTCTGTTATACATTTCTTTGTTTTTTGTTTATAACTGCGAAACCAATGAATTTCTATTCTATTCAATTATACAAATCTATGTACATATGTACGTACTTTGTATACGTATATCCAAAGTTAACAAGCTTTTTTACTTGAGTTTCAAAGTTTAGTTTCTTAATTTTATTTTAAAAACATATACGTTTTAAATATCCCAGTTTCTTTAATATAGTTTTCATTGAAAGCACGATTTTTGTCGCATTTCTTTTATACGGACACCCCTCTTGAACTTTCAGTCGGTCCCCTTGGTGTCCGTCCAAAGGAGATTTCGCTGTATTTAGTTCGAATAAATCTAGAATCTAGACAAAAAAAGCCCACGATACGATCAGGAGTGCAGTACTTCATACAATGAATTATTTTGGTATACCTGGAAAACTCATAAACCTCACAAGACTGACGATGAGACAAACAAGACGTATGGTCAAAATAAGAGGATAATTGACAGAAGAGTTTGAGATTAATACAGGACTCAGACAGGGGCACCCATTATCTACACTTTTATTTAATATTGTTATTGAGAGTCAGCTGAATAGATCAGGAAATATATTATTTAAAAGTCACTGCCTATGCTGATGATGTCGCCATAATAGCTAGGGATAAAAGGACAATGGAAAAAGCGGTAGAGCAATTTATACAAGTTGTAAAAATGGAAATGAAGGTAAACAAGGAAAAAAGTAAATTTATGAGAATAGGGACCTGTCAGGCGAAAACGAGGCTAGAAATAACGGTAAGCACAGGGCAAAAGATTTTTGAGGAGGTGGATGAGTTTGTGTATTTAGGATCGCCGATTAGTAATAAAATAAATTAGGAAACTACACTACGATCATCAAGCCAACCCTTTTGTATGGAGTAGAAACTTCGGTAATTAATAAAAAACTTGAACAAACATTACTTAGGTAGAAGAGGAGAATTTTAAGAAGAATATATGGAGGGATCAAGGTGGAGCGAGCGTATGTTAGGAGGTCTAATGCGGAAATCAATAATCTATATAATGAACCAAATATAATAGAAGTAGCTAGGACCAAAAGATTGCAGTGGCTGGGGCATCTGGGAAGAATGCCGCAAGAAAGAACAGTGAAGCATATAGCATCGAGAGTTCCGGATACCAAGAAGAAAAACGGGAGACCAAGAGGAAGATGGAAGGATGCGGCTATGGAAGATTTGAGGAGCAGGAATATCAGAGACCGGAAGAAACGAGCATTAGACAAGAAGTGGTGAAATAAACTCGCTAAGCTTACGGCCTAAAGGCCTGTTTTATAGCTGTATATATATATATAAAAGTATATAGAACAACTAATATTGTGCTGTATTTCTTTTTTTAGCTTGTTTTATTAATACCGAGACCGGAGGAAACGAGCATTAGACAAGAAGTGGTGAAATAAACTCGCTAAGCTTACGGCCTAAAGGCCTGTTTTATAGCTGTATATATATATATATATATATATATATATATATATATATATATAAGTATAGACCAACTAATATTGTGCTGTATTTCTTTTTTTAGCTTGTTTTATTAATACACCAACCTGTATACATAATTCGTTATAGCATAATAATAATTAATATTTTGTAGCATAGATTGTAGATGTTTCTTGACATAAGATTCACCAATCTGTCTCCACTTTTGCTCCAAAGCGGCAAAAAGTTCATCCTTGTTTGAATAATTTCTATATCGTATTTGCTGATCTAAGTATTCCCATAGATTTTCAATGGGATTTATATTGGGAGACTGTGAAGGCCATTTGGGAACATTTTTTCATCCAGAAAGAATTTCTTCGGTCCTTTCGGTTTTTCCTACTAGGGCGACGTGCAAATAACTTCAGGTCATTTAATCCTCTACTTTTATTTTCCGTAGAAACAACGACAATTCCTTTTGTCTCGAATTCGGCTTTTATTTGTCTTGGGGTTGTAAACTGATCTTTGGACGAAATTACTTTTATTAATCTAACTGATCTAGCATTTAGTTTCCTAGGCCGACCACTTCTCTTAGAGGCTTCCAAGATACCTTTTTGTTTATATTTGTTCAATATTGCCCAAACTGCTTTACGCTTCAGCTTCAAATTTTTGGCACTGTCGACTTGACGTTGACCATGTTTGTATAACTCAATGATCTTAGTTTTCACATCGAAAGAAATTTCTGGACCACGCGGCATGGTCTTAAAATCACTCAACTTATTCCACTACACTTGATGAACACAAACTAATCCTCTTCACGAAACTGTACTAAACTAATGTTGAAAACAATTTGTCTACTTATTTTTGTCCCTCATAAAAAAGTGCTTATATTCAGACTTGTATTGTGTGTAATGTAAAAACAAGGAATTTTGTTTTTCTACTAATTACGCATTTGTATATGGAGCAATGTAGTATGAATTCGTTTTCTAAAGGTATTTAGGTAAATATTCATATTTGTCTATATACTTTTGTCCATTACTGTATATCTGGAATTATGAACTCGATTATCTCAGACTTCGACTTTTAAACTTTACTGCCTTTTACCAAGTACGTCAGCATGCCTGGGTGGAATTTCTTTAGACTCACCCTTTATATACCGATAATGATACTTGAAGAATGCCTGTAAATCAATAATTTTCAAAAAAATATATATAGTTACCTGCTTACCCGTTGGTAGTAACATTCTCTTTGCCGAGCGCGATGTCTAACCCGAGTTCGGAGAGCACCCGAAGTGCCTCGAGGGCAGCCTTTTCATGGGAGGCATCCGTTGTAGAGCCCTCACCGTGACATACTTGCGGCGGATTGGTGCCTAGAGAGACCAGCGTCAGGTACATTTCATGGTTGGCTTTCGGGAAGTCGGAGAACTGAACCTGGATGTTCAACAGCTGAGCCAGATAAAGCAGCTTGTCTTTAGACCTCACGCCCTGCAAAAAGTTCCGTCAAGTAGATTGTTAACTTTATTTTCAAACCAATTTTTGTGTTCTTTCCAACTAGCTGAATAAAATTCAGAAATAACTATATACAGAGTGTTGTTTTTGGGTAACACGGTTCTTTCAAATTTTAACTTGTCTGGACCTGCATTTCTTTTTCTGTTTGTATCATGGTATAATGAGCTGTTAAAAAAGTTATGAGGCATATAGATATGGCCAAAATCGATGTGCCTGTACCTTGATTCTAAGAGGCTAAAGACCCATCAACCCTTATTTATAATCAGTCCAGTAACCTGTTTACCAGACAGTGGGATCAAATAATCTCTTGAAAAGTTAACCAAACGCATACATAACAAAAAAAATAGTGTCACAGTCTATACTACCCACATCTTCGAAACAACTTTTAGTATAATTTTCCATGTAGTTGCACTGGCATCAAAACGACCTAGGTTTTGTCAGAACCACTAGTGCACTATTTGGGCTTTTCACGAAAAAAAAAACCTCAGATTGCCGCAATGGTAGCCTGATATCTTTGGAACTGTTTGTAAACAATGTTTGATAACTGATTATAATACCTCTTGATTCTTGCTTATATACTGTGCAATATAATATTACCTAACGAAATCAAGTAGGTAACCTCTTTAAATCACAATTCAGCCATAGTGGTCGTATATATAGATAATATCGAGCCCACCTCGTATATGTATATCGCGTCCGTCGGATTCACTACCAAAGATGCAATATTGACAACCCCGTGGAGCACCGCAACTGCGACCAATAGGGGAAAATAATTTTCTTTTAAGGATACATGTAACATCTATATGTGATATAATGTCTAATAGAATATGTAAAATAAGTCGGATAGAAGCGTAGAATCAGAGGGATTGTAGATGTCCTCCACCCCTCAACTTTTTATCCCTGAAAAATTTTTCAAAAATGATCAGGATCCTCTGAAACGTTGGAAACCAGAGTTCGAGTGAATTTTGTTTCGTTTTTGGAATTTCTCTACGCCGCCACAGGACCGATTTTCAAAAACCACAAAGCTTTTTCGTCCTTGGTATAGTAGTACCCTTGTGTACAATTTTCATCCAAATCTGAGCAGTACTTTTTAGGGTTGGGACGATTTAAATCAATTACTTTTTTCAATTTTAAGCGTGTAATTATACAGGGTGGTCGATATGTAACTGACTGGTTTGTATCTTGAATATTTGAAAAATGAAATAAAATACGTCCATTTTATCATCTTAAACTTTGAAATTATGTATGAAAAATAATATCAGACAAATGTCCGCCTCCAGAAGCCGCGCAAAACCTGAGCCCTGCTCTACAGGAGCCGTTAAATCCGGTGACCTTGGTGGCCAGTTGACATCACCAAATCGAGAAATTAAAGGTCCTGGAAATAATTTTCGCAAAAGAGTCATTGTTTGTTTCCCTAGCTGTGTGACAAGTTGGTCCGTCCCGTTGGAACCACATGTTTTGCAGGTTAAATTGTTGGATTTGAGGAGCCAGAAAGCTTTGCACCATATCACGGTAGCGTTCGCCAGTGACAGTAAGATAATTTCCTGCAGCATCTTCAAAGAAGTAAGGTCCAATGACACCTCCATACCAAACACCGTACCAAACTGTGACTCGACGAGGATGTAGTGGTCCTTGATATGACAATTCTGCTTATTAACAAATCCGTTCATTTCGAAGTGGGCTTCATTACTCATTATCAGTTGTCGGTAAAAATCGTTATTGATATGGATATTAAGCTGCAATATTGCATGACTGTATGGTCGGCGACTTTCATGGTCACTGGGCTGGATGTAGTTCTTGGGTTAACTGATTTTGTATGTCCGTAAATGCAAGTCTTTTTTAAAATAAGTTCTTGAGAACGATGTCTGGTAGACGTCCCAGGGCGCTCCACTACACTTGCACGATCTTTTCCGGAGTACAAACACGGCCCGACCTTGGCAAGCCTTCAACTTCACCTGTTTGTTCAAATTTCCCCACCAACTGACGAATGGTGTTGACACTGGGCACATTATTTCGACCGAAATTTTGTCGTAGCTTCTGAATCGTTGCAACAATCGACTATTTAAGTAAAACGTTTTAACAATACGGACGGGTTGTGGGATCGTGTAGCGCTTGATGATGAATTGGACACATGTGCTTTAAACAACTACTACGGCACCACCCACTAAAATGCGTGTATCAAAAATGGCGCGCAATTTCAATCAGTCAGTTATATATTGGCCACCCTGTACTTCCTCCCCAGCAGGCGTGAGAAGTAGAGTAAATAAAATGAAAATTAATAGGTATTGGTATCTGAACGCTGTAATTGGTATTTGTCTAGCAAGAGCGGCTCGGATAGTAAACAAATCTAACCTGAATGGGAGGTGGTCCCTTGATCTGCTGCTGTTGAACCTGAATCGGTTTGTCTCCTCCAGCTGCATCTTTCTGCTTCTGGAAACCTGTGGACGACTGATCAGTAACTAGCAAGACGCCTGGCACCAACTGCCGTCCTCCGCTGCCACCAATGCACTGGGGCGCCTGGTGTTCCTGTTGATTCTCCTCCACAAAAGTCACCTTTACAGTAACCAGATACATTGTAGTCCAGGCAAGTTACAGTTTAGCGTGAATTGCCTGAACTATTGTAAATGTAACAAAAGTCAGAGTACATAAATGGGCGACAGTAGAAATCTTCTTCAGGGGGAACACGTTAGGAATTTTTCCTAATGACCAGCAAAAAACAAGCTCGAAAAGTTGAAAAAACTTCTTGTGAATTCAATAAATACCAAGGAATGCATATATTATGTTTATTTACATTGCATTGTTCGTCGCCAAAACTGCGTAGTGACAGTGCATATTTTGGCTACTTTGTCGTCTACCGTTGCCTATTAAATTGACAAACCAAAACATCGGCGTAGATTTGTTTTCTGAAGACGAAATGCAAGTAGCCAATCGTACTTGGTGTACTCACTTTCAACAGTAAGAAGTACTATGGTGCGATGTGATCAGTTATTGAGATATATAATAAACAGGCATTAAATAACGCAAAAAAATTAAAGTAAATATATATTAACGGTACAGCATAAGAACAATTCTCTCTAATTCGTTATTTTTGAAGATGAATAACATGAAAAATATTCATCAAATAGCAATAATAGCGGGATACCTGATACTAGAAACCGTGAGGCACCTTGCTTAAATTGTACTAGGTTTTTCTAAATAGTTGTTGCGATCCGAGCAGTTTTAGTTAGGCATAATATGGAAATTACTGCTATTGCACGGAAGCATAACCTACTTTTTTCAAAACAATAAAACCCATTGTCTGAATCAGGACATTTTTATTTGTTTTTTATAATGAAAGCTGGGGTGTCCCAAAAAATTAAAGTTCTTTTTTTCAAAGGCATACCCTCTAACTTTGCTTGAACAATATCAAAACAATATAAATAGCGTTTTATGTAGCTAGAACCAGGGCAACCCGCGCTAGCTAACGTATTGCAATGCTCGTTTGTTCTATTAGTAAACGCACTGTTTTCGTTTAGCCAACATGTCGAAGAAATTACGCAGTTCTAAAAAGTGGAATATTTTTAATATGGGTCGTAAAGCATCTAATAACCGGTTCAAAACTTCCCTCTAATGGACAAGTACTAGCGCCCTACTATTCGTGAGTTCATTATTTACTGGGAAAAGGCACCGACTAAATCTCCACCTGTGTTAAGAAACTAGATACCTTTACCAGGTTTGGAGAGATTCCGCCGCATCAAGCTCGATGGATGGCAATCTATTCATTAAAAATAGCGTTACTAAGTTCTCAGCTCAAATTTTCTAATAAGGATAAAGCAACTCTGTTAGATATGTGCCTGTTCATCGTGACAACATACGTGGAACGGTGGCTGCAATGCACTTTAGTGGCAAAAGCACCTAACCAGGATTTATGTTTTTTTAAAGGCCATGAAGGCTCAAGAAAGAATTGACAGAACCATTTCAAAAGCAGTTTTACAAAAGTTCTGACAACATTTATGGTATTTGACAGATGAGGTCTCGGTCTTATCACTGTTTGACGTCGATGTAGGTGAGGAAACAAAAGTGAAAATTGTTGCTAATTTTGCCAAACAGAGTTCATCAGCCCACAGTGAATGAATGCTATATCCCATCGAAAGAAGGACTTTCTGGCCCACTGAATGGTAAGTCTGACGAATAAATTTTCCTTCGATAAAATGTGCTAACTGTTGAAACAAGCCAGTATAAACTGCGATTCTGGCAATAGATGACACCTTATACTGCCTTGTTTCGATAAAACATATATACAGGGTGTCCGCAAAGTTGGGGTTTTCCTTTTCAGAAACAACTACCCTTGAAATAACAAAGGTAATGTGAAGTGAAACGAGGGCGACCAAGTAAAAAAAAAATAAAGGAAAAAGTACTCACTCTCCAGTTGACGAGAAGGGCTAAGTACGTCTCTGCGCGAAATCATACCGCTCCAACAGAAAATGGAATCAGCTGATGCGCTACCGAGCAGACGCACCATGCCAGCCCAAACATTCACCGAAAATGTTTGTTGAAAATGTGCCCGACGGACAGCGTGCGGATTTTCTACTGACCAAACATGAGTGTTGAGAAAGTTATTCACCCCATTACGCGTGAATGTAGATTCGTCTGTCACCAATATGCACTTCAAAAAGTCCGGATTATTGTCATGTTGATGCAACAACCACTCACAAAACTGCACTCTTGCTGGAAAATCGTCAGGTTGAAGGACTTGTACACGTTGGACGTGAAACGGATACAGCCCCTCTTCACCCAGCGTTTGCCACACTTTAGTTTTTGATACTTGCACTTCTCTAGCCACGTCTCTAGTGCTTGTTGAGGGATTCTCGTCTACGCGATTACCTCTACAGGCGTGACCGTAACCGTCGGTTGAAGGTTGCATACTGACCTGACACACTGACCCCGACCCAGTTCTGTCGTCGGGTTAAGCCAGTGGCATTGTACCACTCTGTGATGTCGCGGCTACAGGACGGTATTCAGATATTTTTGATGTTGCAGAGCCCTTTATCTCGGTTCCCTTAAGACATTGGTTTATATGGTACTAAGAAAAATTGCTTATGTTTTCAAGATCTACACGTCGTGTAAAGGAAAACCCCAACTTTGCGGACACCCTGTATATATAATAATCTCAGATAGAGGTTCTTTGGTATGCTTTCGTTCATTGTCCTGACCTGAGGCCAAACCTTGACGATGCTAATGAGTTTAGATGGTAGCTATTCTTCGTTTTTTTTCATTTCAGAGAAAAATATTGATGACTTTCTTTCAATCAAAAGCAAGTCCTTGTTTAGTCGACTCGAAATTGATGACAGTTTTCTCGACGAGTGTCCAACTTCACGGTCCCATAATTATTCTTTTCAACGCGCTAAGAATAAGGTGCAAACACAGAGCAGTTAACGATATGGCAGAAAGAGCAGTCAAGTTAATGCAAGACTTCCATGGCTTAACCACTGCTGATGAGGAACAAAAACAATTTTTATTGCGATGCCTACACGAACACAGGCAGGTATAACCTGACTGTAAAAAGAAAACTTTGAAAAGAAAATTTAGTAAATAATGTTATATTAATGATTAATATCTAAGAAATATAAGATACAAATAAGACAGTGTTTTATTTGTTGAATAATAGTTACGTTTTGCAATCGATACATGGTTTTCCTATTAACTTTCAAATTCAAAGTTTGACCGAAAATCGACACGGGTTATCGTTCCCCGATCGCAACAATATTTATTTTTATGAGTTGTTAGAGTCAAACGGAAAAAAATTAGAGGATAAACGTATCTCAATTCGAACAAAAATTTGTTCGTCCTCATAGGCCTAAAATTTTTTTTACAAAGTTTTGAAGATCAAATCGGATAGTGACGTCTCCCATTCTCCATACACCGAGTAAACCAACTTCTAGCGTTAGTCTCTCTTGCCAGCATAGCAGGTGTTGTGAAGGCAATTCCTTCCTGGATGTTCGTCTTCAAATCTTGTAGGTTCCTTGGACGGTTCACATAAACACGGGACTTCAAAAAACCCCATAGAAAAAATCGGGCGAGCGATCCGGCCACTCCAAATCGCCACTAATTGAGACGAGGAGCTCTGGGAAGTGTTCCCTCAAAACAGCCATCGATGCTCCAAAAGAGAATGCTATTGCACCAACTTGATGAATCCAAATTTCCCCTAAATCCAACTCATCTAGTCAAGGAAAAACATCCTGTAACATGTTCTGTTCCAAAGTCATTATTACTACGACTTCATTTTCCTCAAAGAACCAATGTAGTGGTTCAGTGAGATGCGCGGCAACTCGGCAACAGTGGACGAAATTGTGCTAGATCGAGCGAGGGGGCAGTTGCCCTTCGCCGCCGAGAGAGGCAACACGTGACCATCTTCCGGATTTAAGGATTACCGGGTTCCATGTTTTTTTAGTTAGTGAATTATTTTGTGCCTTACTGCCATTAAGGTTTGTTAGCCATATCGCCGTCGTTATTACTGAAACCCACGAAAAACCCTGAGTAATATTGTGAGGGAGCCATAATTCCAGCTGAGGAAATTGCACACCACACTGTGACTTTATGTGAATGCAAAGGCTTTTAATGCAATTCTCAAGGATTGGAATGAGGCCAGCAACGCATCTTTTGTTTATATACTGATCCACATAAATGAAAATGGGCTTCATTGCTAAAAAATAATAGCGTCCTCAGGAACGACGCTCACTCTGAGTTCATCCGAGAATTGAAGTCACGCTGAGAAAATTTCTGCACAATTGGTATCTTGTAAGGATTGAAATGGAGATTATCATGAATTCTCACAGAACGATCAGAAAGTTCAAGGGCAGACGCATGCTTGCGCGCAGAACGCCCTGGTGATCGCAACATTGAAGCTCTCACTGCCCCAATGTTTTCAGGTGATCTAACAGTCCGTCGTATTGTCGCACTCGCAGTTTGAACGAAATGACCCATGAAAGAACATCCGCTGAAAAAGTAGGCCTCAACGGAAAAAGCACGCTTCTCACTGTTCCAACACATGATGGCGACCAAAGTGAGTCGGTACAAAATTTGATGGCCCTGCCTCTTGAATGGGGCCACTAGCGCTACGCTACGACATCAACCACCTGAATGGTGCCCCTTTTTAAAAAAGGAAGTTATGCTGCCGCACCCTGCATCATTATCATATTTATACAATAAAAAGATTTGGAACTCAATTTGAAATCAATAGTTTTTTCAGGCCTACTGAACTGCCTCAGTAGAATCTGATGACGCTAAAATGAGAACCTAAAATTACTATTTATAACGCTGAAGTAAAGATCTTTCGTAAGAACTTTCAGATTCAAAATTTAAGTAGATGGGATTCAAAGATAAAGTTGGCCTTTTTCAGTATCCATCAAAAAATTTGGTTTGTATCCCAACATTTTGCATTTTTCAAGGTTGTTAGGTACACAACTCTGTTGACAAATCTTAGCTTGGGACTGATCACACAAATAAACAAGGTGAATGAAATAAATCAAAATTATCCCACAACTGTCCAAGTAAAAGCCCAACCTTTCGCAACACTGATGACTAATGTATCAACACTTATCGATGAAAGGATATTCAGTTACACATAATGTGAAATGTCAACAATTTGTAGTATTAAGTTTTAACCTAACAGGTGACTACGCAATTTTAGTTACAAACAATATGTATACTTTGCTTGTTCTACCTAGTCTGAATTGGACATTTTTTGAAGGATTCTTCCAACTCTGACTTTTGATTAAATATGCAGTGTAGACAGTTACCTTTCTCCCTTTGTCATTGCAATGCATATTTGCTTGTTCTGGTTCCTTGTCTGTCTTAGGGCAACATTGTTTGTTGTTTGATGTATTCGTGGAATGGCCAAGTTCAACCAAGAGAGCTTCGGCCGCATTTCTTTTGGCGATCTTCTTGTTGGGGCCAACGCCAGTACAAGAATGACCATTGACGGACGCCTCTATAACGAATTCCCTCCTTCTGTGGGCACCGCGTTCTTCTAATACTGTGTACACTGGTTCCCGTTCTTTGTTAGCCTGCTGGATTTGAATCAGTCGAGATATCGGGTTGATTTCATCGACGTTCTCGTTGGTTTTGTCTACGTTCACCTACAAGTCCAAAAACACTGTATGTTTCCTTTGTCAATACATCTCCAGTCCCCCAAAACCATTGTGGTTTGTATAGGATGTTTCCGAAACGTGGGGCAATAATTCTTTGTGCAAACAGAGTCAATAAATGCACTAGCTACATGATTCTGACATTTACATGTAAACACGCTGTGGAAGTTTTTCGAATTTTATACTGCTCGTTGGTGCGGAGTATTTTGGAGTACAACACAGTGGTATGGTCGCCAAATTTAATTGGTGACATTAACTCAATTGAAGCAGTGCAGGGTAAAATTTTAAAACAAGCAGCTATTAAAATGAATCGAAGTCAGGATGCTTCAGAACTAATGAGTACGTTGAGCATAGACTCCTTGGTACGCCGCAGGAAAATTTTATGATTCATGCTTTCTATTTAGAATAGTTGATGGTGTCATAGATTGCCCAGAGGTGCACGCACAAATAAATGATAATGAAATACGAACTCCCAATGCGATTCCAGATCATTCTATGAATTATGGTATGAATGAAACAGTTACTAAAATTCTTGGATCTGGCAACGCCGCCGTAAGCTACAATATATACTAAGTGACATATAATTTCCGAACACCCAGTTTAAATGGTTTTATTTTAATAAAATTTTGTATAAGTACTTAATGAAGCATAATAAGTAAATGATAAAAATTTCAAAATGATTGCACTGCTTTAAAGCCCTTTGACCTTTAATAATGTGTGGATGCACCCTGATGACGCATGCTCCAACGCGCCTAGGCATGCTTCTGATCAGGTGGTCAATGTCCTCCTGTGGTATCTCATTCCAGGCAACCACCAACTCCTCTCGAAGTGCTTCTAGAGTCTGAGGAGGACGTTGCAAATTGAGCAATCTCCTACCCATCATATCCCACACGTGCTCAATTGGGGATAAGTCGGGAGATCTTGGTGGCCATGGTAACAATGTGACATCATTATGTTGAAAGAAGTCTATTGTGACTCTTGCAACATGTGGTCGGGCATTATCTTGTTGGAAAGTTGGATCTGCCAGGGTGTCAAGATAGGGTAAAAGATGGGGTTCTAGAACTTCGTGGATATAACGCTGCGCGTTCATGTTACCTCTGATGAAGATTAAAGGTGACCTGGAACCATAAGCTATAGCACCCCAAACCATAACTCCAACAGTGTGATGAACATGTCTTTCAACAAAAAACTGTGGATTCCTCCTTTCACCACGTCGCCTTCTAACCCTGGCACGACCATCGTGCATGCCTAAACAAAATCGAGACTCGTGACTAAAGACAATACTGTTCCATTCCTGATCCCAGAGTGACCGTTGTCTGCACCACTCAAGGCGATTACGTCGGTGTTCTCGAGTTAAAGGGAGGACCCAGTGTGGCCGGTATGAAAACAAGCCAAAACTTCTCATTCGTCGGTATAAACACTTCGCATGCCAATAGGTCTTCCGTGTTCTGCAAACCGTTCATTTGAAATGGACCTGGTAGTGCAGAAACGGTCCCTTAAGGCCAATAATCTTAGGCGGCGATCTTCACGGTCTGTTTTTCTATGGCGGCGTCCAGTGCCCCTTGCTCTTTGCGTACGGCCTTGTCGAAGCCATGCCTAACAACACCTAACCACAGTGTCTACACTTCTTTGCACTCTAACTGCAATTGCCCGAAAAGAAAGTCCAGCTTCCCGAAGTCCCACTATACGGCCCCTATCAAACTCACTGAGTTGACGAAATCGTACAGGTCTCCGTACTCTAGGCATCGTAACCGATCGTAAAGGATGTCAAGAACCAAAATCCGCCAACGTTGATTCTTTACTGCGGCTGAAATATTCATTTTTAGAGCGTTAGTGAATTGAAAAAAAAGCACTATAAAAACAGGAATGTCCAACTGATAAGGCTGAAAATTTTTTCACTTGTTATTTACAGTAAGATAAATACATTCACCAACTTTTATTAAAATAAAACCATTTAAACTGGGTGTTCGGATTTATATGTCACTTAGTATAGATATTTTCAGTAGCAATATTAAGTGTTTAAATGACAAAAGGGGTATCGGGTAATAGCTTGTTTGAAAGATCTTTCAAACTCCTTGATTTTGACGTTTAATTTATCAAAATCAGATGATTCGTTTTCGAGGAAATTATTAATTTTTATTTATCTTAATTTGTTCAGATAGAAAACAAAAACACACAAAAATATCACTTTTCATTTCAATAATTGTTAAAAATGTTGCCTGTTAGGGTTTGTCAAATCTACAATTCGTTTATAATTTAAAACGAAAACTACCAACATGAACAGCAATTCAGAAGATTAGACGTGGCAACAGCCAAATAAGAACCCGAATTTTTTATATATTCTTTTCATCAACACAGATATCCTGGTGAGCTGTATTTGTTATACCTGTTTAGTTATTTGTTGCTAAGGGGAAGAAATAATTTAATTTGCTGTCGGTTACCTTTGTGACAACCTTGGGATAGTGAAAATGAATTTATTGATTTACATTTTTCTTACAAATACACACCAGCCGAAATGGTGGAAATGATTCTAATTTATGGTGCCCAAAATCAATGTGCTCGGCAAACTGCCCTCACATTTAACGCCAGACATCCAGGGAAGATAACTTCGCATAGGTATGTTTTGGACCATGTTACTAAACTTACTCAAACTGGATCTGTTGCAAATAAAAAACGTGATCATTGGAGAGTTTTGGATGAAGAAGCTCAAGTTCAACGTTTGGGTCATTTTGGAATCCTAATCCTTCATTACGCAAAATTGTTGCTGCGACTGGTATTTCATTAGGCTCTGTATACAAAGTTGAACTCCATACATTGCAGCGATTAATGATAATACCATTCATGTAAAGAATATGTGCTTCAGTGATGCACATTTTATCTAAATGGATTTGTTAGTAAGCATAACTGCAGGTATTGGAGTAATAAAAATCCTCATGCTTTTGTAGAAGCGCATACCCAGTACATCCAAAAAATTAATGTATGGACAGGCATTTTAGAAAACAAAGTGATTGGGCCATTGTTGATTAATGGAAATTTGAATGGAGATACTTATTTGGATATTTTGGAAAATATCATCAATCCGTTTATCACTGAAACCAAAACGTAAAAATAAAAGACTTTGAAAGACCTCTAAAACAAGCTATTACTCCTTGTCATTTAAAATTATCAAGAGGATGGCCATGGGGGCAGAGGGTGAAAGGAGGTAAAGCAGTTTTTGGTTAAAAAGTTGTCACCCTTGACAAATCTTTTGACGTGTCTCGGCGTTTTTTCTTTTAATCAGTGGTTTTCGATAAATCAGTGGTGGGAACTTTTTAAAGGAACACCCTGTATAAAGATATTGTAATCTGTCACATAGACATGTTTTTTTATGTAATGGGAAACCGTAAATAAATAAAAAAACTGCTATTTTACTAAATTTTCTGTATCTTCGAGGCGGAGAGGGTTTTCCAAAACACTAAAGAAAGATTACATATTTTGCCCTATGTTTTGCAAACATCCTGTAGAGCTGGAAGATTAGGTTTGACGTTGATAAAAAATGCTAAACGGTTTTTTAAAGTGCGTATTAAACTACCTTGATGAGATTTCTGGTTTTCTTCTTGTTAGGTACTCGTTTACGTTTAAGCTGGGCGATATTCATAATAGCCGGTAAAGGAGGCAGTTTGGAGAGCTCTTCCAACATTTTTTCAGCAGCACGTTTCTTGGATATCTTCTTTCCGTTGCCTTCACCATCAGCGACAAAGTTGCCCACACGACATTCAGTTACAAACACTTTCATATGCGGTGGACCCTGATAAACAAAAATGCGATTAAAGAATGCTCATTTTGACAATAAAACCCTTAATTTTTTTCAATACCATTTCATCATGTACGTTTTAGTTCGCTTCTAAGATCCAACTAATTGCAATGATCGTTTTTTCTCATGAGTTTCTAATAACATAAAACAGTGCTGTATGTGGTTGGTTATGGTTACAGAGATAGAAAATAAACATGTTCAAAAGCTTCTATTTCTACATATACAGGGTGTTTCAGTTGCATAACTTTAAGATTCGATAGAAATTTTAAAATTAATGCATAAAGTCTATATAAACATGGGTCGAAAGATGCGTGGCTTCCGAAATACAGGGTGTTTAAATTTACTTTTTAAAATAGTTTTTTTTTTAAATATTTCGGACAATATCTCATGTATAACAGTGAAAATTGGTATACAAGGGTTTTTTGGTACGACAAAACGAACCATGGGCATAGTTTTACTGTAGCCTCTAGAGGGCGCTCTCTACTGTACCTGTAGTGTATTAAAATGACCGAAAATTTTTTCTTAGTGCAATTTTTTGCTTTTTGAATGAAAAAACTGATTCTTCGCACTTTTCTGCATAAAAAAGCTCTCTTGTGAGTTTTCGTTATAGTTAGCCGTTTTTGAGATATTTCGATTTTTAAGGTTCGATGCATTTTTAATTACACCCTGTAAATGCATAGAAAGTCATAGTTTGTTCTGTGAATATTTAATATTCCAACTACTTTATGGTGGCGCGGTGTGAAATCTCTGCATAGTGCAGAACGTCGAGGAGTTATAAGCCAGATGACGTAAGTGTTTTTCTGTTATGTTGATCATATGGAATGAGGATGAAAAGCAGTTTAGCAAACTGTTGGTACGAGGGCGGTCCGATAAGTACTTAGCCTCACCGCCACTGTCGCAAGAGAAATTTACTATCGTTGACGGCTACTATCAAAGTTTCAGCCGAATCGGACTCGTAGCTTTGTTTTGACCGGGTGTGGAAGCGGGCGTGTCCGCGAATTTTATAAAAATGAAAAACGAGCAATATCGGTCGGTGATTCAATTCATGTTTTTGGAAGGGAAATCGTGCAGCGAAATTAAAGAGCGCTTGCATGCTGTGTGATGAGTGACCGCCAGATACTCTGGAAACGGTTACCACGGATGATAACGTGACAAAAATCCACGATCTCGTATTGGAAGGTGCGCGAGATATCTGAGACAGTAGGCATCTCAAAAGACCGAGTGAGTCATATCCTGCATGAATATTGTGCATGAGAAACATGCGCAACCGTGCGACCACTTCACAGCAGCGTTTGACGCTGTTTAAGCGCACTCTGGAAGAGTTTCTGCACCGTTTCGTGACCCTCGATGGAACGTGAATCTACTGTTACACACCAGAGACCAAAAAAACAGTCGAAACAGTGGACTTTACCCGGCGAACGTGGTCCGAAGAAGGCGAAGACTGTCCTATCGGCCGGAAAGGTGATGGCCACCGGGTTCTGGAATTCACAAGGTGTGATCTACATCGACGACCTGGATAAGGGCAAAACGGTTACAGGGCTTTACTATGCAGAATTATTGGGCCGATTCGACGCCGAACTGCAGGAAAAAAGGCCCCATTCGGCGAAGAAAAAAGTGCTCTTTCACCATGACAAAGCACCGGCTCACACCTCAGCCGTCGTCACGGCCAAATTGGGCTACAAACTGCTGCCCCGATTTCTCCAGATTTGGCCAGGTGTTTCCAAACTAGAAAAAATAGTTTTCTCTACTCCAATCTTCTTCCAATCATCAATACTTTGGTATCTAGTAACTCGTAATTCTAATTTCTGACTTCGTAATGTTCAGAAAAAAAAAAAACGAGAAAACGTTGGTATTTACTTGAGAGAACAACACCCATTTTCGGACTACGTCGAATTTTCTCAACATTTTGGTAGCTTTACTCAGACAACAAAATTACGTAGGGTGTTTCAGAACTAAGCGATCAAACTTCTAGGGGTTATTCAGTGTAACAGTAGAAAACATTTGAGTATAGGGACCCATATCCGGAAAAGTGTCACTATGGCCCTGAGACGCGTTAAAATTTAGAAAGACGATGAATTGCCTAGATAGGATTTAATGCATTTAATTTTTGCTTTTCGTACATGATACCATCACAACAATTGTTCAAAATGTCTTCCTCCAACCTGAATACACCGATTTAAACGTCGCACATGATTACGGCGGACTTGATTAAAAATTTGATACTCGTTTGAATGATTTCAAATGCTGCTGTAAATCGTCCAAAGTCTTGCTCTGTTTCTACTGGAGTTTCGTAAACCAAAGACTTTACATGTCCCCACAGAAAAAATCTAGCGACGTTAAATCGGACGACCCCAAACCGCTGAGCCAAATACTCACGTACTTGTACAGCAAAGTGAGCCGGCGCTCAACAACACACAAGCGCCGGATCTGGGTCCCTATACTCAAATGTTTTCTACTGTTACACTGAATAACCCCTACAAGTTTGATCCCATATTTCTGAAACACCCTGTATATCGAACTACATAAGAAGATTAAATACCTTTTCGCTCAATACTTCAAATGTAACGTTCAGGTTCCTTTTAAGCGCTATTTCGTAGACCAAAGAGATTGGCGATTTCAGATCAGTGTTGAGATCACTAGACACGCTCTCTGGTGCAGAGGGTTCGCCTCCATTTTGCATTTGGCCTGCACTGTCTACACTGGAATTTGGACTTCCATCGTTTTGTTCTGAAAAAAAAAAGATAGAAAAGCATGTTAGAGTTAAAACTTAGCAATAAAACGTTACTACAAACTTGTCCGGTAAGGAACTTAAAATTTTCTCAAAATTCTAATATGGATGCATATTTAGATCCAGGTCTTTATGGTCATGGTCAGGAACTGAAAAAAATGTAAGTTTTTTGTTTTGATTTTGCTGATACGCCCCTTTGAATATTATATAACATATATACATATTATGTCCTATGAAATTTTCGTATCTGCTTTCGTTAAGAGATAGTCAATTTTCTTAGATTGAAATTCATTTTTTTAACCTGGAATTGCTTATTTCACCAATAGTTGGATTATTTGACGGGTTGCCAGTTCTCTACGCAGCGTAGCCTTAAAAAAGGCTGATAAAAAATACAATACAATAATTATAATCGATCTTTCAAATGATATTTAAACCTATTTAGAGGCAATGGTTTTAGGATTTCCGGAATAGAGTTGTAAATAGTAACTGCGTTAAATGTGAAAGATCGGTTAAATAAAGCTGTCTTCTGTGGCATCGTGAATAAATGTGGAGATCTAATAACTTCATTGGATGAAGTTATATTTAAGAGATGTACAAGTTTCTTTTTCAAATGGCTGTTAGGGCGGTAGTGAGCGCCGCCAATAGGCACTTCTTGCTGGGATCGGTGATGGAGGAGCTGACAAACACGAAGGTTTGAATTTTGAAACGACAACGGCTTTTTATTATTTTCAATTTTGTGTACAAGAGTGAGTAAATGGTATCGGAAAAGCTATTATTTTTGCTATTTATTAGGTTTTAACGATGACTTACCAAGTTGTTTGATGTGGTCGATCGCCTTAGCGGCAGCATCATGCCTGGCAGCTTGCACAGTGTATCCCTGTCCAGGGTACTCTCTTTCACCCACCCTCAGTCGAACTGTGTATGGGTCCCCAGGATTATGCGGAGCGCCGGGCCTGAACTGACCGTAGTACCTGTTGTCATGGTACGGATAGTGGCCCCTGATGTTGCGCCTGCCATCGTACGGAAAACGTTGTGGCTGTTGTTGGGCATTGTACATGTTATGCCGAGTATAGTACCCTGTCTGGGTTAGATACCCCTGGAAAGAGGAAAACACGTAGAGATGGCCGATATGGTTATTTATGAATATCTGTGATAATTGATATTGTTACTTTTTTATATCAGTAATTTAGAGCAGTGACGTGATCACGAATTCCGAATAACGATGAGATTATGGGTATAGTGATATCTTGGGCAAAATACCGCGATGAAATCGCATGGGGTCAACTACCATAGCCTATAAGGCTATTGGTCTTATGGGGATTTTCGACCCTAGCAGATAGCGCGCATGCGCATCTCACGCACGTTCAAACGTTAACGCTGTGATCCCGTGATTCTATTCGCCGTTGCCGAGAAGCTCCTCGTTCGTGATCACGTCACGCTTTTTCACCGTATTTGGTAAAAGTCGAGATTTTCAGTTACTAAATCACAGTTCGTGAAATATCTGCCACCACTAGATACAAACATCTCTATTAGTCATAACCCTAAACCGTACCCTTCCACTAAAGCCGCAATGGCTCTGCCAAGTGTAAATAGTAGCTTGGGTATCTAATACGCCGTAGTAGAGCGGACGCGCACTTCGCGTCATATGTTAATTGCCTGTCCACCATTACGTTTCGAAAGTGGAAAAAGTTATTATTGTTATGCATAGATATTTCAAGTTGTTATACCTGTATATTTTCACAAATGGCAAGATCCTGGGTTCATTTTTCTCATAAAACTGGTCCATTTAGATGCTTGATTGAAATTTTGTTGAATAAACTGGTTTTTGGTTCAACTATTCTTTTGAAAACCATTTTCCCGTTCGAAAAGGATAATGGGAGAAACCGAAAAAAGGAAATGGAATTCTGTAATGGCTGAAGCTATTGATTCCTTTCGGATCAAGAAGATGAAATGGAAGAAGACAGGGAACAGAAAAAGGAATATACTCTGCAATTTTTGTTGCTAAGGGATTAAAAACTACGGATCTGTTTAAGATAGGATAAAGGTATTTATTATTTTATAATCAGTTAGCAAATAGTTTAATTTAAAATCAATGTATTTGCAAAGTTTCCGAAAACATACTAAAAATATGATGTTCGCTGTTGGTTAAACAAGTTCTATACTTACTGCATATGCAAAATGTGTATTTTTTTTCTTAGGTATATGTGTTTATGTTATTATTGCTTATTTCTTGTTCTGAATATCCAATGTACCCAACATAAACAGTAAAGTGTAAGAGTAGCCTAGGCTAAAGTTCGCTACTTATGTCCCCCTTGGTTGTTATTATTAAATTCTTATAAATACGGGAGACGTACTTATATCTATTAAGTATTCTTGCCAATTGATTAAACCTACATTTTAGCGATGTTAAAAAATGGAAATTTGATAGTTATTATAGACGAGTATTTTTTACATAATAATTGACTAAATCATCAAACTGTAAGACTACAGTACTTATCATTAGGAATTAAACGGGGCCCTATCCAATGAGTTCCCATGGCCACTTCCTCGCTTCATCATCAGATCGTCTCCATGTCATAATATTATTGCATTGCCAATTGTCGCTTAAACATCCGTCATAGTGGATTAGAATGACGACACGTTGGTTACTCTGTATCTCTCATTGAGCCCTTTCAGCCGATAACTATATCATATTGTTAAGCATTGAAATTATAAACGCCATCTTGCGGTGGTTGACATATTTGAAATGACATTTTGCTTATTGTGTTTCTCTCAAACCATTCCATCTCATGCCCACATTATAGGGGTGACAATGGAAATTATAAATCACCAAATTGCGGCCTATTGGATTTAGTTCAGTTTCTCTCATCAAGCTCTTTCATTTGATACCCATATCATATACTATAAAGATAATAAATCGCCATTACGTAGCATACGTCATATTAGATTTAAAATAACGACAGTTAATTTGTATTGTCACGCCAGACAGGCATACAAAATTTCAGCTCGATTGGCTAAGGTTAATTAAAATTCAGTTTCAGGATTTGTCGCACGAACTAACATGTTGACAGTTAATTGTACAAGGCTTGTAAAAATGCCACTGTTAATGCAATGTATATTGAAATACCAGCCCAAATTAAGCCAGGGGAAAATGAAAACTGTTCAGGGTAAATTCGTATTTTCTGTCTCTAAAAATGCTCTGAATTGCCAAACGATCTAAGTAACATTTTATTATTTACCTAAATGCGCAACTTTGCCTTCAAAAACGATTTTGTATTGTATTGCATACCGTTTCCGAATTTGAACTCCCTAGTGCTTATACATATAGAGTACTTTTAGCAAAGCTGAATTAATATTCAACGTAGATTTCAACTAATCCTAGTAATTTCTCGTGTAATACACATTGACTCTGCTTGGGAGAACCCTGTACATGAACAACTCTGACATAGTTGATATTCATAAAAAAAAATTCACTTCATTTAATATCATCGGGCTTGAGAGAACGAGGACAGCTCCTTCGAAAACTTTCACAAACTACAATATATACAGCGAGAGCGAAAATACTGAGATGGATCGAAAAAATTGAGTTGCCAGCATTCCTGTTATTATATTTTGCATCCTTGCTCAACAATAAAATATTAGTTCGCTCGCTAGAGTCAGTGTGACGTCTCGCCAGCGAGGCGGAACGTAATCTGCCTTTGAAATGTGAGAAACGCGTGCTAGGAGGAAATTAAACTGAACTTCAGGCATTTGTAACAATTTTTTTTTAAATCTTAAGGGTGTTAATTTCTTAGTTCAGAGTCTGCCAACATGTGTTTCCTCAAATGGCTTGATGCAAGTATCCACTTCCTGGACATCTCCGTCAGACACGGAAACTCGTTGTAGGGCCCAGCGGTAAGGATGGACGTTTCTGCTTATCTTTCAATAAATTCAACCTAAGGTTGCTGGTGGGACTGTTGTCTGGCCATAACTCGTTAAGGCGCCACATGCACGTGATGGGGATGGCTGATAATCACTTGTGTGAGCACTGCGGTGTAGAGGAAGAGACCGCGGCGCACGTTCTGTTTCGCGGTGAGGATTTTAGCTACTACAGGCGAACTACACTGGGGTCCATCACTTTGGACCTCCTGGAAGTTAAGAACTTGGACTGAAGGCCATACTCAACTGTAGTAGAATGGCGAGGTTTGAGGCCTAAGGAATGTAGAGGTGCACAAGGGCCCGTCTAAGTAGCCTATGCGCTGGCTCCTTATGGTGGCCGGTATGCCTCCAATTTCATGTTTCATTACTATCAATCAGAAGCTGTTCCGTGGTCAGCTTTATGTAATAAACTGAATCGTGATCGTGTGAACTGTCCACGTAACCCTCAACCTTTTTGCTAACATGCCAATAATATCGGAACTCAAAAGCGGACAACTATCAGTCAGAAGCTCCTTCATGGAATAAACTGAATCGTGATGGTGTTGAACTATCCAAAAACCTCGCTGGTTCGCATTTGAGCGCGAGTCAAGAAAGAGAGATGGAAAGCGTGGCAAGCTGTCGTGTTTATTTACCCCGTGCGATGGTAGCTTTATAAATATGTAAAGTAAATGACGCATAGCATTACAGCGTAAGTGTCACACGCTTTTAAAATATACTTCTAGCTACTTTTCATGTTTTTCAAATTAATTACAAAATGGGGATCCGAATTTGGTCATTTTCCTCAATTATAAAAGGCCAACAGATTTGCTTTATCGGCCTTTACTAGCTGAAGCGAGGATTTTTTTTCACTGAAGATCTCACCTGATGAGGTGGCAACCCTCCATTCTCAACGACATATACAGTGCGTTCTCCACGTTTCATAGCTAAAGCATTTAACTCAACTGTTGGAGTGACGACGCCAGGATTAGAAGGCCGCGTTCCAGGTCTACTTCTGACAGTTTTCGGTGGAGGGTGCTTGAATTCGGTCTTGGCCAGGGCCTGGGCAGCTGCAGAGTGTTGGGCCTTTTTGATGCTAGGACCTTCCGCTTCGTATTCCTCGTTTCCTAACTTCAGAGTGACTGTGAAGATTTTTTTATGTGCAGGTCCCTGCTCCCCTGTCAGCCTGTACTGGTGTTGGACTTTGTTGTATCTTGCTGCGAGGAGAAAAATGTGAAGTAGCATGATTCTCCTAGAAGATGCCAACCCTATGCTGTATTAGGACGTTCACATACAATTTCCATCGTTACTGCCATGCTACCAGGTAGCAATATGTTATTCAATGGTAGAACGTGAAAGAATGAAGAAAATATTCATTAAATCTTGAAATGATATTGTGTTCCCAAAAAATCATCCTTTACATTACTAATAATTTCCTGTATTTTAGGTAGAGAATTTCCATACTCATGGAAAATTGACAAAATTATACCAATACCAAAGGAGTCTGAAATTAATGACCACAATGATCTTCGGCCTATAAGTATTTCACCAGCGCACCGACAACTTATCGAGATCTTATTTGACCAACAAATAAGAGATTATTTGACTGAGAACAATTTGTTACCAGACTATCAATCAGGATTTAAGAAGGGTTTCAGTTGCGAAACTACACTGGTACATATAACTGACATCTTCAAAGCAAGAGATTCCGGAAAAACCACCGCTCTCGTGGCCTTGGACTACTATAATGGCATTTGATAATCTAAATCATAAAATGTTGACTGGTATCTTACACTATATAGGGTTTTCCGAGTCAGCTTTCATGGTTATGTGCTACTATTCACATAAGCGAGCATTTTAGGTCCTCCGATTTTTAGTATTTATACCTCCAACCTTTTCGAAATTGTCAGGTATATTTGTATGCTGACGGTACTCAGCTTTATTTTTCTTTCAATCCTAACGAGAAACGTGATGCCTTGGCAATTATTAATCGAAATATTGAAAGATTAGTTGTATTTTTGGGACAATAATGTCTACAGATTAATGCTAGCAAATCACATATTATGTTACTTGGCAGATTGAAAGACAATATTGATATTTTCATGTCAAAATAAGAGTGTGAATCTATACCTTGTTTAGTCACTGTGAGAAATTTAGGAGTAGAATTTGACTCAAATCTCAGATTCAAGCCTCATATTAATAAATGTATCCAGAAAGCTTATGATTCTCAGGAAGTTCTATATGCACATCAATATGTCCTCGCTGTTCAACTTAAAATATTGCTTTGTGAAGTATTAGTACTCGGCCATTTTAATTTTTGTAATAGTTTATATGGGTTTTGTTTAGACAACATCGACATATACAGAATTGAGTGTGTACAGAAATCCTGTCTAAGATTAATTAAAGTTTCAAAGAGTTTCGCATAATTTGCTTGATGCACACTGGTTTAATATGCGTTTGCGGTGTGAGTTTCTTGCATGTAATCTTTTTCAAAAAATGTTTTAAGCAACCACTAGATTTATTTAATAAGATAGCTATTCACACGGATGTTTATAATTTAACATTTATTGGCTTTATAATCAAATCCCTAATAACTTGAAAATTCCGCATCCAAACCAGTTTGAAATCAAATATAGAATATTTATTTTTGAAAGGCACTTTGTTGCGCATTAATGTAAGTGAGGCACAAGCGATCAATCTAATGAACGTTTATTTTTTCTACTATCACTCACATTTTTTGAGGCCTTTTTAAGGTTGATTTTTTTATAAATGTCTAATAGCTACAGTGCTGAACTTACACCATTTATAAATGCTTTCAACCCTTTTTGTAACATATTTCATTTATACATTTTGCTGGAATGTACTATTTATCTAAGCTGTATGTTGCAAATAAACATTATTATTTAGTTAAAAAATGCATACTTGTTAACCGCCGACCTTAAGCATCAGCGTTGTCCCCTCTCAAACTGCTATCGCAACTAATGGGATTTCCTTGCAAGGTTGATGTCATGTTCAAGAATAAAAAATTTCTTTAATGGGAAAATAGCGTTCATTTTTAATGCTTCTAAGGAATGCCCTGCAAACCTACTTGGATGTGATAGATAGAAATTGTGATTATTCCACTATAGCATAGGACTGGGCATCTTTTTGGGAAATAAGCTGATCAATCAGTTTACTGATTCCTCATGTATCTTACCTAGTTCATTCACCAAGCACATTGGTGTTTTTTCTTTTATGTTTGCCAAAGTAGCATTGGGCTGGTTAGACAAAGTATTAGTGTTTGATTGCTGATGCTGGTGATCTGTAGTGTGTTGTTCCTGTTCTACTTGCTGTTGCATAGCTGCTGGGTTATCATAATGGTACACCTGTTGAATTGGGGGCTGTTGTTTTGGTTGTGGAGGTTGTTGCTGAGCTGGTTGTTGGGGGATCGATGTAGTGGTAATTAATGTGGGACCAGTTGACATCGACACTAACACTCCTGCAAAAAAACTATTCCTAGCAAATGTTTTTTTGAATTATACCCCAAGAGATGCACCTTATCTCATGTGAAGAGGGTATTTGTCATGTGCTTACAATGAAACATCTGCTAAAAACTACCACGTTGGCATCCACATGCTCATAGCTGTTATACATGATAATATATCTTAAATCTGAAAAGATTGCGATTTCAATAATATCCAGCTTATCCAAGGAAGTTAAAAAATGTTTCAAAATCTAGATGAATGACAAAACATTATAAAGAATTGTGAACAACATCCAAAAATAATAAAAAATGTATCCTTAGTATGAATATCTAGTAGCAACAATAGACACAAATCTTGGGATTTTTTTAAACAAGCTTCAGATTCACTATTGTAGTCAATCGTCGCGCACGCGTCATGTAATTTAAAAAAAGTACAAGTACATTCTAGGAGAAAATCAAATCTTGAACCAGATCATCATTTTTTGTTCCAACTGGCAACAACAGTGAAATTGCCTATTCTGAAGATTGAACCGGATACACTCAAAATTTTTCCTCAGACTAAAATTTCCGTCACAAATAGTTTACCTGTAGCAGGCATGCTCATTAGCATTGGGGTTCTTTGATTTGGGGGTGGTCCCATCTGTTGCATCTGCATCCTGAAACAAATTATTCAAAATGTGCAAGTCGATTGACTCAGTACTTTCCATGTATTTTCTATAATATACTGAACAATAACATTTTCTGTTTGAAATCAACTCCAACTCACAGATACATGGGTGCTTGTGAAGACAAAAACACAATTTCCATTTTTGTTTCAAGTTGATAATACTTGACAAACGAATACCGGATTTGGAATAGGGGGAATGTGCCAGTAACCCAGACACTACCAGTAGTCGGACTAGTGTTATTGGTAAAAACTTGATTATTTGAAATCCTATACTTGCTGTTAATTGGCGGCACCACATTTATCAACTAATTTTTGACAGATTACAAAAATGTGATATACACAGTTGTCATATTGACAATAGTATCAGAGCATCAAAAACAGCATGTATTCGTAACCTCAATTTTTGTCAGTTGTGCAGTGAGTGACATAAACTTCAAATTCAAGTGGAATCATCAGCTGACAATATAATCAAATTCAAGCGGATAACCAAATGGAAATGGTATTTACCATTTTGGGTTGGTATTTACCAATCCGTTCAAGCGAGTGTAGTTATCAGTTTGGTTATAAGATCCGTGACGTCACGAATCAGCTGTTATATGTCATAGTTATCACCGCAAAATTGTGGTATTTACCCAACTCGAGAGTAGTTTTATATTTCTGGTTATTATTTGAAATGTGACAAGTTAGAATTTTGCCGGGTATTGGATATTGTTATTGTACTTCAGCTTCATTTTTGAGAAAAACGATACAGGCTGACTTCAGTTTTACCATAAAGTGGAGCACCTTATTAGTTATACTCATTACGGTTGTTGGGGACACTTTAAATGTAGTTTCTATGCTTAACAAAGTATCCTGTGTAGCTATATACCACAAGAATATTAAAATATGGCCATATAAACTCACTAGATGATATCCACCTGTATACGGTTTTGCTAATTTCTTTTTTCATCATTTCTGCTGAATCAATAAATGTTTTCTTTGACATGCGGAAAAATTTAGAGAATTGAAAGTTATCATAGCTACAAAGCCATGGTTAGATCATTAAAAAAAAAATCTGAAAAAACATTTCTCCATGAATATTATGAAAGGTTTCTTATTTAAACTTTCCATTTACAGTTGTAGACGAAAAAGCACCGATTATTAAGTGATAATAAAAATAATCAGAGATTATATACGCGCTTTTCTAAAATAAACAACTTGCAACAAAACCGCGGTTAAAACCAACGCGTTCAAGCGATTCGTGTCACTGACGTCATCAACCCGTGTGTCATCTTGAACCATATTATAACCGCGGCACATAACACAGAAATTTTGGTTATTCGCTTGGATTTGATTTATATGTGTTACTGTAAAAGTCCGAAATAGTGAATGTTGACATGTCAATATACACCAAATAGCTTGGTGAAAGACCGAACATTTATAAATATCATTTTCATGACTGTATTGAACTTTTTAATTTATCTCAATCAGTTAATTCACCCACACGTATCACTAATACTTCTGCTTCTCTAATTGATGTCATCGTGGTGTCTTGATTTAAATGTATCTGACAAAGGAACAATAGATATTGTTGATGTGTCTGATCATTTCTTGGTGTATTGTATTTTGAATTTGAAATGTGTTGCAACGGAGTCTAGTAAATATGTTAGAAACCTTAAAAATATAGATAAGGGTATCCTAGAAGAATCTTTGCAAATTTCTCCTTTTCTTAACTTATTTTTCATAAATAATATAAATGAAAAGGTACTATATTTCAATAGTATTATTCTTAATATCTTTGACACTTTAGCTCCCCTAACTGAGATCAAATTTAAACATTTTAAGCTGCCATGGATAACCGCCAATGTTAAATTAATGATGTCTCTTCGTGACAAGGCATTTCGAAAATTAAAAAGGACCGGTTTGCCGGCAGATTGGTATTATTATAAACAAATGAGGAATCTCGCCACCAATGCTGTCCGGGCTGAACAAAAATCATATTTTAAGTATTCGTTCAACAGCTGGGAGGGAATTCGAATATCTGGAAGAAATTGCAAAGCCTAGATATTGCTGGCAAGTCTAAAACGCCAAATATACCTGCACAGTTTGATGATCCGAATGAGATAAATAAGCATTTTCTGATTCTGTCATCAAACAATGATCCTGATACTGAAAAATTTCACTTTTACAATAGCAATTTCCGTAAGGATTTTGATAGGTTATTTTCATTTGAACCTGTTTCTGAAGCCATTATTTATAAATATCTTTATGAAATAAAAACTCTTGCAACTGGGGCGGATGGTATTAATATAAAAATGTCACTTTTACGCTGTCCGCACATTTTACCAGCCATAACGCATATTATTAATTGTTGCCTAATAGCAAATACTTTTCCAAAACTGTTGGAAGGTTGCAAAATTTCATCCTCTGCCAAAGAAAGGCACTATATGTAGCTTGTCGGATCTTCGTTCAATTTCTGTATTACCGGTCCTGTCTAAAGTTCTGGAAAAAATAATAAAATTTCAGTTAATGCTTCATATAGATGAATATGATTTGCTGCCTTCATTTCAGTCAGGGTTTCGAAAGGGTTTTAGTTGCACGACAGCGCTTCTAGATGTTACGGACGAAATTATCAGGGATATTGATAACGGCAATACAACGTCTCTTGTATTGCTTGATTACACAAAGGCATTTGATACAATTAATCACCAGTTAATGTTTTCTATTTTAAAATACATTAGTGCTATTAAATTATTCAAAAGTTATTTCTCGAAGAGGACGCAGTTTGTCATAACCTCTTCCGGGGTGTCTGTTTCCAAGCCTGTTCTGTGTGGGGTACCTCAAGGCTCTATCTTGGGTCCATTACTTTTTTCAGTATACTCTGCAAATATTACTAGTAGTTTGATATATTCAAAGCCTTATTTATATGCTGATGATACCCAGATAAAATTTTCGTTCTCTCATACAGATACAACAACTGCGGTTACATTATTAAATGAAGATCTTAATAATTTGACAAATGAAAGCATATCACATCAGTTATCCGTAAATGAAACCAAGTCAAATGTTTTACTGTTCGGGAAACACAAAAAGAGTGTAGCAAATTCATTCCATATTTCAATTAATAATAATCTAATTCCTCATACATCTGCTATTAGGAATTTAGGCTTGATCATGGATAGTGACCTGAGGTTTTCAAAGCATGTTGATAAGTGCATTGGCCGTGCTTATGGTCGGCTTAAAATGTTATTTCCACATCGTCATATCTTTTCTACCAAACTTAAGACTTTGCTTTGTGACACGCGCTTGTTCTGTCATTATTCAATTACTGCGACTCAGTTTATGGGCCTTGTATAACAAGGTATGATGTTGGATCATATACAGCGTGTCCAAAACTCTTGCCTTAGGTTTATTTTTGGAATGAAAAAATTTAAACATATTTCTTATAAGTTACCTGTAATAGGATGGCTAAATATGGAAGCTAGGAGAAATCTGCACACTGCAGTTTTGTTTCATAAAATTATTCTATATAAAACTCCGCCTTATTTATATAATAATAAGATTATATTTTTAAGTGATGTTCACAATATCAATGTTCGGTATCGGAAGCTGATTTCCCAACCACGTCATCGTACATCTACGTTTAACAGATGTTTTTCTCATTTTATCTACCACTTGTATAATCACGTCTCCACAAACCTAAGTCTATGTCTGTGTCAGCTTTTAAAAGAAGTAACAGTACTTTATATTGTTCCTTTCCTTTTTATATTTCAAATGTTTTTTTTTTTGTTAAATCTGCCTAAAATGATTTGATATTTTTCGTTAAATTATATTTTTTATATAATTTCTTTATATACATATATATTTTTTTTTTGACGTTTTTAATTATTATGTATTAATTATTATTAGCTTATATAATTTGGTTAAGAACTCCTCTGTTGTAATTTTGTTTGTTGGGGTAGTAGTTTGATCAGCTCGTCTGTTTACTAGTCCCTTTTGCAGGGAATTCATGTTGTCCCTTCAGTTTTAATTTTTTTCTCTTTGTATTTTTTTTTGCTCTGCAAATAGACGCTATTATTATTATTATAGTTTGGAAGCATCACTGGTGTATGTTGAAAAACGTATGCTTAAATAATTATAAGTAAAATACAAAAATATTACTTATGAAGTTGTAATGTTGTATTTAAACTTGTGTAAAATATATGTTATAAATTTTATTTGAATATTTTGAGAAATGCCTGAATTATTGACAAACACTTTTTTTTACTGATTTTCAACACCCTAAATTCTGAACAGCAAACCTAAAAATGAAAAATGGCCATATGAGAGTCCTATTATTTTCACCCAAAGAATATGGTATGTGGTTAACGGATTGACCTCCTTTTATAAAAAATATAATTGTACCTAATGATACCCGTGTATCTATATTAAATGGATTGAGTATGAGTATTTAATGCCTTTTCCTCAGTCTTAATGACATCTGATTTTAAATTTCTATTCTACTACTACAAATTTTTAAATATAGCTTTGTCTAAAACTTGCCAATCAAACGCTTTGAAAATAGCTGACCAACTAGTAGCACCTTCTCTCCGAGTACTGATAAAAATCGCACCTTTTTGGTTGATATTTTTTACAAAATTACAGGAATATCTATAAGCAATGTATTTGTTGTCTGCAAACATATATGATCACCTCCAAACATGTTTCTTCTTAACACAAAGTTTGTAATTAAACTTTGTATTCCATTTTTGTCTAAACTGTCCAACCACTAGCATATTTATCCTATGTGTATCCAATATACCGAGGAGACTAGCGTTTGTACATTTCAAAGATATGCCAGGATTTTTGGTATTTTTTCCTTTAAATATCTCAAAAATGTAGAACCTGTTAGAGTAAAATTTCCATTTTTGTTTCTAGTTGTTACTAGTGAATAAAACTAGAAATACTCAGGTAATTGGCATGCTAGTCAAAAACATCCAAGTGTGATAAGGCCAAATTTGATGTGGGAAATAATTTGTTCAAGTCCCTTATCTGTTCTAATCTTTTGGCTTTTCCTACCCCCATCTGATGTACAGGGACTTCAGTCCCATCAGAAACTTCCATAGACATGTCAGTATTATTCAACATCTTCAGAAAGGGCTAAGTATCATCCTGACACTTTGTTTGTTAGCATTTCAAATTAGAAGTTTATGCACCTGATTTAGCCAGGGACTAGGTCTTGACATAAGTAATGGTTTTTGAATAATATTTCTGTGAACTTTCACATACAATAAATGACAATACTAAAAGTGAGAAATAACAAAATTAAAAGCCACACCAACATCAATTATCTTATAAATTTTGAAAGTATCATGAAAATCGCATGCATGGACTCAACAGATCACTAGCATAACTAGGATTATTTTTATAAAAACTCAATTGATCTGAATTTTAAAATACTTGTGCCTGCTTTTTTAGGGTAAAAACATGCGAAGGAAACAATACCATGGGTTATAAAAATTCATCTTGATTTACTTTTCAAGTCACATATTTTATAATATTCTCATCAAAGGTGGCGCTCCATCCATGTCATGTCATTTGTTTAAAAATCTTGGGAACGACTAGCCGCCTATGATCCCATTGGTATCTTCCATTTTTAGTAGCATAAAACTGCCAATTTGAATGCTAAAATAGTGATTACTGGCTTTACTTACCTAGCATTCCTCTGCATACCATTCTGAGGAATATGATGATGTTCTTGTAACATTTTGCTGTTGGAAATATATAATTAAGAAATATTCGATAATCTACTTGTGGGAGGAGTAAAGTAGAGGACCGGTAAAATCTTGCGAAGTAAAATGAGTATTTCACTTCGCCTCCTTCTATTTTGTGTAGAACGAATATTGCTGCTTATTTTTCCTGCTTTTGCAAACACCACTACTATATCATTTTCATACGTTGGCAAACAATAAAGAAAAATCAGAAACTCATGCGGCCATGTTAGTAATAGTCGCAAATGGTGGATTTGTTAGCGATGTGCCGAGTACGGTTTGACTCGAGTCAGAGTCGATTGCTGCTTTAGAACTCGAGTCATGAAGAATCGATTCGGACTCGCTAACTCGATTCTATTTATGCGAGTCCAACTGACTCGAGTCTCGTATTCGAGTTTGGTTAACTCGCTCGTACTCGCAAACTGTTTACTTAGAGTGCGGCCACACATAAAGCTGCTAGCGGGGAAGGTAGCGAAGAGGAAGACGGAGAGTACTTCGGATACTATCTTCACATGTCGCTGGTTTGGAGGCGTATTTTAATTCGCAAATTCCATAAACAGTACAGAGCCCAGGTGACGGTGGTGTTGTTATTACGGAAAAATGTCTCTTGCTAATAATTTATATTTAATCGATAATTCTAGATTCTTCTACAGATAATGCTCAACAATTTGTTGTTGCCGAGTTGATGATGTTGGAAACATAGGAATCTCAAGCTCAATTCCAGGTGCCAAATACTCCAAATAGATGTCTACTGCCACCTACTTCACGTCTCGAAACACCTACAACTTCATCTTCAGATTCCCAGCAGATAACTTCAGAGGTGACTGGCGAGAATTTACGGGAGCACCTAGATAAAAGGGTATTGGAATTTTCAAGCATGGAAAACTCCACAACATCAGCAATTATCAAGGTGAAACAGTACGTAGAGCTACAGTATTTGGATAGAAAAGCCAATCCACTGAAATTTTGGGAACTTCGCAAAATCACCAACAGTGGCCTTTATAAAATAGCTTTGAAGTATACTAAGTGACATATAAATCCGAACACACAGTTTAAATGGTTTTATTTTAATAAAATTTTGTATAAGTACTTAATGAAGCATAATAAGTAAATGATAAAAATTTCAAAATGATTGCACTGCTTTAAAGCCCTTTGACCTTTAATAATATGTGGATGCACCCTGATGTGCTACGCATTCTTCAACGCGCCTAGGCATGCTTCTGATCAGGTGTTCAATGTCCTCCTGTGGTATCTCATTCCAGGCAACCACCAACTCCTCTCGAAGTGCTTCTAGAGTCTGAGGAGGACGTTGCAAATTGAGCAATCTCCTACCCATCATATCCCACACGTGCTCAATTGGGGATAAGTCGGGAGATCTTGGTGGCCATGGTAACAATGTGACATCATTATGTTGAAAGAAGTCTATTGTGACTCTTGCAACATGTGGTCGGACATTATCTTGTTGGAAAGTTGGATCTGCCAGGGTGTCAAGATAGGGTAAAAGATGGGGTTCTAGAACTTCGTGGATATAACGCTGCGCGTTCATGTTACCTCTGATGAAGATTAAAGGTGACCTGGAACCATAAGCTATAGCACCCCAAACCATAACTCCAATAGTGTGATGAACATGTCTTTCAACAAAAAACTGTGGATTCCTCCTTTCACCACGTCGCCTTCTAACCCTGGCACGACCATCGTGCATGCCTAAACAAAATCGAGACTCGCCACTAAAGATAATACTGTTCCATTCCTGATCCCAGAGTGACCGTTGTCTGCACCACTCAAGGCGATTACGTTGGTGTTCTCGAGTTAAAGGGAGGACCCAGTGTGGCCGGTATGAAAACAAGCCAAAACTTCTCATTCGTCGGTAAACACTTCGCATGCCAATAGGTCTTCCGTGTTCTGCAAACCATTCATTTGCTAATGGACCTGGTAGTGGAGAAACGGTCCCTTAAGGCCAATAATCTTAGGCGGCGATCTTCAAGGTCTGTTGATCTACGGCGGCGTCCAGTGCCCCTTGCTCTTTGCGTACGGCCTTCTCGAAGCCATGCCTGACAACACCTAACCACAGTGTCTACACTTCTTTGCACTCTAACTGCAATTGCCCGAAAAGAAAGTCCAGCTTCCCGAAGTCCCACTATACGGCCCCTATCAAACTCACTAAGTTGACGAAATCGTACTGGTCTCCGTACTCTAGGCATCGTAACCGATCGTAAAGGATGTCAACAACCAAAATCCGCCAACGTTGATTCTTTACTGCGGCTGAAATATTCATTTTTAGAGCTTTAGTGAATTAAAAAAAAGCAGTATAAAAACCGGAATGTCCAACTGATAAGGCTGAAAATTTTTTCACTTGTTATTTACAGTAAGATAAATACGTTCACCAACTTTTATTAAAATAAAACCATTTAAACTGGGTGTTCGGATTTATATGTCACTTAGTGTATTTATGTATTCCAGCCACTTCTGTGTCTTCGGAACGAGTTTTCTCTAAGGCTGGTCTTTTATGCAACCAACGCCGCAATAGACTGGAGTAAAAGAAGGTTTACCAAATATTTTTTGAACAGTTATTTCAAATAACTTTTATTCTCTTATCTCTATATATTTTGTTTTTTTTATATATTCATTTAGTTATGTACGGTCTACGGTCTTGTCAGTACGGTTTAGGTGGCTTATGTGGATCTGAATACCATCCCAAATGTTATATTCTGAGCTGTTGAGTTTGTGTACCAACTTTTGCAAAATTAAAATGGTTTGATTTTAATGCTTGCTATATCTGTCTAGTGTTTAGATGTATAAGATTCCTTAAATCTGTCTCTACTAATAAATAAATAATAATATCTAGTCTAAGTCGTGAGTAAATTTGATTATGCTCCATGTTTTTTTGTTTATCTCCATAGAACTCCTATGCTCTATGTTTTTATTTAATGTTTATAATTATCTTTCATTAAAAATTACTGATTTATTATTGTTGTGTCATTATGCTTAACCTAACCAACATGCTATTTGAAGTTAACTCATTTTTACTTTTCCCTTTTGTTCTAAAATCGGACTCTAGTTCTGGACTAGAATTTTCAGATTAGAATTCTGGACTCGAATTTCTAGACTCGAGCCAAGCCGGACTCGAGTCAATATTCGAATACCAAACAGAGAATTCGAGTACTGGCCTCGAATCAGGGAATCGAGTCATGATTCGAATACCGTATAAACTGACTCGAGTCGACTCGATCCATCAAAACAGAGACTCGGCGCATCACTAGGATTTGTCACATTTGAGCATTTAACATGCATGACATTCTCCATCCACTGAATCGGATTCGCTGGCAGTAGGGTTGGGCATAATAGTTCACCTGAAAGAGAGCTCAATATAGTTCAAAGAATATAAGTGAACTAGTTCGCTCTTTTAGTTCAGTAGTTCACTGACACGAGGAAGATCTATGATCCATGTAGCTACAGTGGAATATATATATATTCCACCAAAATACATATATTCCATAAATTTTTATCCAAACAGTCCTGGACATCTGTTTGAATAAAAATATATGGAATACATACATCTATTTTGATGGAAAAATGATTTGATATTTATCGTAAAAAACGTGTATTAAAAACAAGTGAAAGTGCATATCTCTTTACTAATTTTCAAAATAAACTAAAAAAAATCTGCAAAAATAACAATACAAACTGAAATAAAAAATACAAAAAGTATTTTACTAAAGTATCAAACACAAAGAACATATAAACAAAACAAAAAACAAACAAAATATAAATAATTCCACTAACCAAAAACGCAAAGAACATCCATTACTGTCAGCAAGTAAATATGAAAACGTCAACAAAAAATTAATGAATAGTGCTTATTAGAAGATAAACGGATTTTATTTAATAGGCTTTTCTAACTAAGTTTATTTATTTACTCCTCACACCATATATTATGTGTTTCAAGCCAGGTTATTATTCTTACCTTCGTTCTCTAATATCGGGATACAATTATTAAAATCACTAAATTGCACGTTTGCTCTGGAATTCTTTACGATTTAATCACATGTAAAAAGTTTTGGCGCGTGGTCGATGACTGTTGCAAATCTGATTATGGTTTTACAGCTTTTCGCGGCACTATTTGTGGAATGCGGGCTGATGCGTGCGCCACCTTTGGGCCAAAAGGATAAGAGATGAAAAACATAAATCAGCAAACCTACTTTATCGACGGCAAAGTAGAAATCTCAATAAACAGGTGGCACATTGTGGCTATTGCGACGAAAACGTGGGCCAATGATAAAACCATAATTGAACCATACCGTAAAAATAATATTTGTTTTTATGCTGTGACTGAACGCCCTATTTCCGAAAATAAGAGCTCAAACCTAAATTAAAAGTTTTGTTCGTCATGTCTGAAAAATTAGTTTGAATGCTTGCTCAACATATTTAAGAAATAACTGGGTAATAATGTCAATAAATTAAAAGCTCTATGCATGTCATAAGACGGACGCATAGCATAGCATTCAAACATTTCATTTTAGTTGTTCGGAAGGCTAGATAGATACAAATATTAGATAGCTATTTAAATAACATGTTTCACAGAAAGAAGCAAGTCTACTGCTCATTCAATTGCCAACAAAAACATTAATTTCTGTTGAATGTTTATAAAGGAAAATTCGGAAATCGCTAGGCCTGACAATAAAGCATTTTCAAAAAATTTGCTCGGCCGGTCAGTCGTGTTCGTTCGGGTGCATTTTTGCACACCGTCGCTCCGTTTAAATCAAACATCTGATCGAGAGCGCGCCATCCATTGTCCACTGATTCTGAGAGCGAGAGCGCAGAGCGGTGAGCCGGTGAGAGGGGAGCGCATACTGAGCGAGTGAGCGGGTGAGCGGTTTTTCTGAAAGCTGCCGAACTAGTTCACCTAGTTCACGCATCAGAGCCGGTTCTTTGAACTAGTTCGTTCAGGAACTACCCAACTCTAGCTGGCAGTCACAGATTCACACGCATGTACCTAGAGAGATCAAACATCGCTTGGCGCCAATTTTAAATTTTAGCTCTATCTAAAAAAAAACGGCCGGTCATGTGGAGATTATTATCCTCTAAGCCGCGCCTTTTTCTCGCCGTTTTAACATTTGTCGTTCAGTCAACCAATGTACGAAAGAATGTCTGGTCACGTGAAGGTCATCCGACTACGCCACTTTCTTTACACTTTCAGGACCGTCCTTGTTTTGGGAGGTATCTAATACGATAGTTGACATTTCGTATCATATCGAGAGCAGGATGTCAATGGCGTAGAGACATGGGGGAGTCCAAGGGTTTTTACACGATCCATATTATATAAATACAGTGCAACCCGCTTTAACATGTATTACATAAATATACATACCAAAAAGTTATACGTAATTTTGAAATTTGCATTTTTTCAGAATCTGATAGACATATTACAGGCATATGTACTGTGTAGGTATGTGTAAAAACCGTAAACTATTTGGCAAAAAAGCTAGTTTCAACAGATTGTTTTTTGTATAATTATTTAGAACAGCAAGTTGAATTTTACTTAATTTGGTAAGTGTGACTGTACTGTCTTCTTGTTGCTGAAAATAACATTTCAACTTTTTCGCGCAGTCTAATGCCTCCTTAGATGTCACTGGAAGCTCTTCTTCATCGTTGTTTTCTAGTTCGTCTTCTCGTTCGTTATCAACGGATCCTTCATTAACCAAATTGAAGTCAGACAATTCCTGTGTTGCTATTGAATTATTGTCAACATTTACAGACTCATTAAATTTGTCTATATTCAGTAAACCATTAATTTTGAGTAAATCACTTGATGGAATTTCATCTTCTGTATTAAAATCGTTGACTATTTCAGTTATATTTTTCACTAAACCAGCATGGCGAAAACAATTACGAATCGTTTCTGGAGTAACCAATTCCCATGCAATAGTAAGCATATTTATAGCATCTCAAATGGTGACAGCTTTGTTAATGTTGATATCTTCCTGAAGCTCCATAATTTTCATCAACATATGCTTCCGACACATTTGTTTAAGACTCCAAATCACACCCTGATCCATTGGTTGCAGAACTGATGTCACATTGGATGGAAAAAATCGAAGGTTGTTATTAATTGAAATATTTGGATGAGCGGGACAGTTATCGATCAAAAGCGAAATTTTACGATTTTTCTTAACAAGTTCAGCGTCCCACTTTTATAAATATTCTTCAAAAATTGATGAAGTCATCCAAGCTTTATTATTTCCAACACAATCGACGGGAATTGTTTTAACATTTTTGAAACACCTGGGATTCTTAAATTTCCATGAAATAAAAAAGGTCATAAATTCTTTGCAGCACTGCCATTGAATGTCAAAAAAATTAGAACATTAATTTCTATTCATTCACTTACCTATTATCAATAGTTTCCGTTTTTCAGTACCAGAAGCTTTAATACAAATCATAACAGTTATTCGTTCTTTTGATCGTTTCCCTCCATTGCAAGTTTCACCTTTTAATTTATGAGTTTTGATCTGGTAGCATTCTATATAATATTTCGGTTTCATCTGCATTGAATATGTTATCGTCTAAATAATCACTGGATATTACGGGCCAAACTTGAGAAATACAGTCATTGGTAACGTTCTTGTCAACTTAAGCTGAGTCACCACATATTTTCCCAAAAACAATGTTATGTCCTTTCTTAAACCTGTCTAGTCAACTGGAACAACATTTGAAGTAATCTCCAATCAATTTCCCAAATTATTCAGCCTTTATTTGTAGCATACGTCCACTTATTGGAAAATTATTAGCACGTTTTTGTTGAAACCATTTAAACAGCATACCATCGACTTGGAGATGCAGCGATAGCCGCATTTTCTTCTTTTGACTATTTGATTTCCAGTCATTTTTAATTTTGTAACGGTTTCTCCAAATAGTTGACACAGTGGATTCTTTTATAGCCAGACGAGCACATATATTTGCTTGAGATGAACCCTGCTCAAGCTCACTAATTATTATGACCTTTTCGTGTAAAGTGAATGCACGTTTCGCACTTTTCGACATGTTTATAACTCTAATAAATACAGTATAACACTGGTGGCCAAGTTCGAATGCAAACTGCGAAGTCAAACCGCCGTAAACGATAGCATCAGCTAAATCTGTTTCGGAGAACTACCAAAAGTAGCTGGCATATGATAGATTAAAATAGTCCGCTATAAACGAGGGTCTATTTTAAGCGAGTCTATAATATCCGAGGATTTTACATTCAATTATTTATAGGACCTTAAATTGTGTCCATTATATACGGGTTTCCATTATAAGCAAGTTCATTAGAAGTGGATTCCACTGTATTTACATCTTTTCTCATTTTCTTTGTATTCACAAAATGACTCATTTTACCGATGATAAGAGCAGATTTTTTCATGAACCTGAAAGAACAATACAACTACACATTTTTCCACCTTGTATACAGTCCTTTTCCAGAAGCACTCCCCCACTTTTATCCTTTTGACTTGTCAATTTAGCATGCTGAAATTCGGTGTGATGAAATCTATACATGTCTGAATGTATCGTTTATTTTAGCCTAAAAGTGGTTGAACATTTTAAAACGGTGGATGGATGCTATCTCATTGCAAAGCTGTTTCATAACCCCAGAAAAAAAGTAATTGTCTTCGATATCGGCGTGCAGGAGGACTGATGTTGAGGGTTTTTGCATATTGAATTGCTTAAAACTGACTGATTGACTATGTTATATTACTGTTCTTCTTATGGAAAAATCGATCCAAACATGTAATAAAATATATTATAGAGTATTCCGTTTTAAAATAAATTCCAAGATGGCGCCCAACAAGGCACTGTATAATTTATGGGTTGCGCCACCAATGGTGGTATTCTTCCGTGTTTTGCCGAAGATTTACGAAGGTTGTCGCTACTGGCTTTCGGCACGATAGGAAAGTCCGGAAATCTACCCGGAGTGCTAAAAGTGATGTCACTTTTCGCTTGAATTGCAGTAAGTGCACAAATATTTATCAGTGACAGATTGTGACGTATCAAACATCTAGCCATCTAGCGAAAGTCAGACAGATAGGGCAAATCGTTCACTGCTTTGGTTGCGAGTTGTTTTGTTGAATTTACAAACGAAAGTGGCATTTTTCCTGCACTAAAAGGCGATTATCTTGAACTCAAATGGGCCAAAAGTGATTTTCAAAGAATATTTTAACGCGGCAGGGTGTCTTTGTTCAGGATTTTCAACTTACATGGTTCGTGGCTAGACAGTAAAATAAGCAAAATGCCTTTATTTGGTAAAGAGAAAAAAGCCAAGAAAGAAGAAAAGGATCATAGGCATCCTTCTTTAGAAGACAAATATTATTTAAAGGAGTTGCTTGGAACGTAAGTTTCATTTCCCGAAAATCTGTTCACCGTTTTGTAATAAAACCTACTTTTTAGGGGCGCTTTTTCAGTGGTTAGATTAGCTGAAAGTAAGGACCATCCTGGTGTAATGCATGCTGTTAAAATAATAGACAAGAAAGCCTTGAAAGGCAAAGAAGATTCATTAGAAAATGAAATTAAAGTTTTAAGGAGGCAAGTACCTGATCAATTCACCTAAATATTTCATTTTGAAGGGTTCGACTTCCACTTCCATCTCCCATTGACACAACTGAATCGGTCATTTCAAAAATCACATGAAAGTCATATACCAACATGCTTTTTTTGCTGAAAAACATCACTAGTTAATTCATGCCACATGGCTTCCTATTCAAATAATACTTCTTAATAAATGTTCATTGTGTGGATAATGAGGGTCCCACATGGTGCTTCCAACGTTTTTTACAACATTCAACATCCCACAATTGGCAAGTGTGTCTCCTACATGATGGGATGAACTTTCTAGTCTTGGACGTGCTTGAACCTTTACATCTGAAGGAAAAATTATGCAAAATGAACGATGGAACAATTTTTTCGAGTGCCGAAAAATAATTTCAGATCTGCCAATACTTAAGAAGACAAAATTTCATCAAAATCCTGATAGTACTTTCAGAGTTATCATTTATTTAATTGTTTTTGTTAGTAATGAAATGCAAGTCAATATATTTTTCAACTAGTCTTGCATCGTGTGTGGAGTTTTGTTTTTTGTATGCAAATGAGGTTTTCTAAGTAAAAGAGCTTTTAGCAACTACAAAATGGATCTGCAGCATACAAAAAGCGAAACAAAATACGGCTCTGTCTAGCTGGCATTGAAGGATCTGTCAGAATTATGTTTCCTGTGCCAGTATGGGAAATTTTGTGATACTACTAGATAATCAGCTGTCATTATACCATAATGGATACTCATGAAATAGAGTATATATACTACCTAACAAATCAAAGCAGATTATTGGTGCTTAGATATCGCTAGTGTAAACATATCCACTGAGTATTTTGTTTAATTTATGTACCAGTAAACCCATTTTGTACTAAAATAGCATGACTCAAGAACAGTTTTTTTGGGTTTTTCTCATTGTTATGATTGATAAAATATGAAGTTTGTTCTACATCCCAGGCTCAATTACTCTAATAAGCACAAAGTTCCCATACTCATTTACTTATGAAGTTATTGTTGATATGTGAAAATTAAGTCGTGTGATTTAAGAGGTTTCTGAAATGACTAATTCAACTCCAATGAATCATTATGAACTGGTAATTCATAATTTGAGGTAACAAAGTTGAATGTGACAATTGAGTGGGGCAGTGGTAGTTTGAAACCCCCATGGATTTTTGCAGTTTTAGCATCAAATTGACATCAGATTTAGAATCTTTGCACCCAATTTACCCAGGAAATAATTTCTTGTTCAGATTAGGGGATATTAACAAATAATCTATTAACCAATTATTTTCCCATTATAATCAATTTTTAATAGTCAATTATCATAACCGGTTTTTATTAAATTAACTACATAAATTAACCACTTTGATCTATTTTTGTGAACAGCGCAATCTGTGTGACAGATGCAAAAACTCAGTTTACTAACATGAACGAGTTGATAAAAGATGACACCATCTGTGTGTAAATGATCCCAAACAATTTTATTTAGCTTGCCTTGTGTGCATCAAAGTCATTGATTCAAATTTTGCCTTCTTTCTTAAGGCCAATGGATCTGGTATTTGCTGGATATGTTTAGTTCTGATTTCTTAACAACAGAATTTGGGGTAGAAAGAATGGTTGCTTAGGACCCCCAGTAGTTGAGTGTTGAGCAGATACTGAGTCAATCTACTTAGCGGTATTTTTACAATTAAAATTAATTTTTCTCTACTTGTTGATTCAACTGTACTATGTAAATTTGTACTTCTTTGCATTTAAACCTACAAATGTTTTGAATGAACATGTTGATAATAAAAAACAAATGATTAGTCAACATTGTTTTCCTCTTAAAATAATAGTTATTATGTGGGTACATTGCATACACCCAATGCTAGTTCATTGTTTTCTTGAAATGTTTTCATTTATTATTTATATGTAACAGCAAAATCTTGTACACATTTACCTATGAAATATATAATTACTACACTAGAAGTAATGGTGCTTAGACAAAATCCGGCAACTAAGCCATGTTTGATACTTTTGTCAAAGTCCGTAAATCACAAAAACAAGGACTTTCTAAGATCTTTTGTTTCAAAAATAAAATTAGAATTACATGTTTTCAAAATGTCGAGAGCCTTCTAAAAAATTAACAAAAAAAAAATAGAATTTTTTTAAATTTTGTCACCTGCACAAATTAGACTATGTACCTAAAAAGAAAACTTGACAGTGATAAAACATGATATTATGGGGGACTCTATAAGATCTTTCGTTTCAAAAATAAAATTATGATTGCCGATTTTCGAAATTTTAGAGCTTTCTAGAAATGAATATTCCCACTTAAATAACCAAAAAAGTATATAGAATAGGTATTCTTAAATTTTGAGACATTCGCAAAATTAGTAAATATATACATCAAAAAATGCATAAACTTGACAGAAATAAAACACGATATTTTGGAGGACTCTCTTAGACCTTTTGTTTTAAAAATAAAATTAGAATTACATGTTTTCAAAATGTCAGCGAATTCTAAAAAATTAGATTTTTTTTTAAATTTTGTCACCTGCACGAAATTAGACGATGTACCTAAAAATTTAGAAACTTGACAGTAATAAAACACGATATTATGGGGGACACTCTAAGATCTTTTGTTTTAAAAATAAAATTATGATTGCCGGTCTTCGAAATTTTAGAGCTTTCTAAAAATGAATATTCCCCCTTAAATGTCCAAAAAACTGTACAGGCTGTTTCAGAACTAAGGGATCAAACGTCTAGGGGTTATTCAGTGTAACAGTAGAAAACATTTAAGTATAGGGACCCATATCCGGAAAAGTGTCACTACGGCACTACGGCCCTAAGACGCGTTAAAATTTAGAAAGACGATAAATTGGCTAAATAGGATTTAATGCATGAAGTTTTTGCCTTTTGTACATGATATTATTACAACAATTGTTCAAAATGTCTTCCTCCAACCTGAATATGCCGATTTAAACGTCGCACATGTTGACTAAAAATTTAATACTCTTTTTGAATGATTTCAAATGCTGCTGTAATGCGTCCAATTAAGTCTTGCTCTGTTTCTACTGGATTTTTGTAAACCAAAGACTTTACATGTCCCCACAGGAACGGTGTATTCAGGTTGGAGGAAGACATTTTGAACAATTGTTGTGATGATATCATGTACGAAAGGCAAAAATTGAATGCATTAAATCCTGTTTAGGCAATTCATCGTCTTTCTAGATTTTAACGCGTCTTAGGGCCGTAGTGCCGTAGTGACACTTTTTCGGATATGGCTCCCTATACTCAAATGTTTTCTACTGTTACACTGAATAACCCGTACAAGTTTGATCCCATAGTTCTGAAACACCCTGTATAGAATAGGTATTCTTAAATTTTGAGACATTCACAAAATTAGTACATCCAAAAATTGAGAAACTTGACAGAAATAAAACACGATATTTTGGGTGACTCTCTAAGATCTTTTGTTTTAAAAATGAAATTAGGATTACCGGTTTTCAAAATTTTAGAGCCTTCTAAAAATGGGTAGTCCCCCTTACATGACCATAAAATTAGAATAGGCGTTTGTGAATTTTGAGACCTTCACAAAATTGGGCAAAACCCTCAAAAAATCAAAACCTTGACAGAAATAAAACACGATATTTTAGGGGACTCTCTAAAATTTTTTGTTTTAAAAATAAAATTATTTATTATACAGGGTGAGTTCGAAGTTGAGTCATTTATTTTAACAGTGAGTAGATCTGATCAAAAGAAATGTTTTTTTCCTTTACCATTTTTCTGGTAAAATTAAAGTAACAAAGTTATAGCCCTTTGGAAGTTTGAGTACCGCCCTGTCTCAATAATAATATCATGTGCTCGTGTTTGGCAACAACGGATATAATCCGCCTTACCGGTTCATCGCATCGGAAACAAAAAAGCGAAAGAATTTGGAACGATGTTTTTACAATAAATTATTTTATTCAGTTCAGTTATACATACAGTCAGTGTCAGTCGGTTAGCGTGTGAATAGTGTCTGTTGCGTGGCTCAAACGAAATAAAAAATGGCACATGTTTATGCGGATCGGTTTCCCAATCGAGTGCAACCAACCCCTCGTGCCTTTTGTTAATGTAGTACAACGGGCTCGTGAATCAGGTGACTTAAGACCTCACAGGGGACCTCACGATCAAATACAGGTCCGCACTGAAATACTTGTCGGGAGGATACTTTATAAAACAAGGTAAAACATTTTTTTTAATTTTGTTTTTATTTTTACACACATATTCTGGTTTATCTTCCTTCTACAATCATTATCTGAAAATTAATGACTCAACTTCAAAGTCACCCTGTATAAAAATGGGTATTCCCCCTTAAATAACCAGACAATCAGAATAGCTTTTTTTAATTTTGAGACCTTTACAGAATCAGAAACTTGACAAATACGTAAATCATGATATTTTTGGGGAGTCTCTAAGATCTTTTGTTTTAAAATTAGGATTACCAGTTTTCAAAATTTCAGAGGACTCCTAAAATGGGTATTCGCCACAAATTAATTCATTAAAAAATAGTAACGTTCTCACAAAATTTCACAAAATCCTAGTGATACTTTCCGAGTTAAAGGGATCATATGTAACTAGGAAGACAGGAAAACTTCTGGAAATGTGCAGATTTCCCCAGTGTATCGAGTTCCTTTTGATTGTAAAATAATTACCGGAGAAACTTCAAGGTTTAATGGCGTGCTATTGGAAAAGAAATTTAAAATTCTAGCGTGTTCTGCCATCTTGACCAAAACCTTTTTCTCGGGTTAATTAGGTGCGTAGATCAGGAATATGTGAGATCTTGACTTGATAGGTGTCACAATCGAATTCATCTTATAATAGTTTGTCACTTTAGTGTGGGATCCTTTCAAACAAAAAACATCGAGCAATCCATTTCTGACAGCGATGAAATATATTCTAGTTGAATCTTTAATCAGTCTGTATCGATTTTAAATATCGCGTTAATATTTGAATATACTCCCATCTTTATTAA